CTTCGCCCCGCAGTTGGAGGTCAGGATGATGAGCGTGTTCTTGAAGGACACCTGACTCCAGGTCCCATGGGGCCCCCTTCGACCGGACTTAAAGCCGGGGACGCCTCCAATAGCGCAAAGTAGCCAACATCTACGGGTGCTGCCATGCTGACCCCACCCGCTGTGTTTCCGGTACCCAAGCGTGGCGGGTCGAATAGAAGTCTCCAGTTTTTGCGAGCAGACCCCACCAAACAAAGCAAGCCGTCGTTACGAAGGGCATTTGGGCCCTTCGTTACGAAGGGCATTTGGGCTGGCTGGCGCGGGTGCTTCTGCGCACTTTGGTGCAGGGGGGGGGGGGGGCAATGAAGTTCGGGCGTTTCCCTTGGACCTTTGGCCGAACGCCGCGGCGCAAGGCGGCCCTTGGAGTCCGTGAGGTGCCCATCCTCCAGGACCTGCAGCATGAGGTTGAAGACGTCGGGGTGCGCTTTCTCCACCTCGTCGAACAAGACCAGGCTGTACGGCTTCCGCCGCACCTCGGAAGCAAGTGGCTATGGGTTTTTCAAAACCCCGTACCCCCCAGCGAACATCCCAATCCCAACTAAAATAAACTAAAATGGGTGGTGCACCTACCCCAAAATGGTACCATTGGTGTTGACCCACGGCCAAGTGGTGGTGGCCTCCCCCCCCCCCAACCCCCCCCCCCCCCCCCCGCTTCGCCTTGTTTGTTGCTCCTTTGCTTGGGGCTTTCACTACCCCCCTTCCCCTCCCCCCACAAACATACCCACTGCACCAAACACCAAAGCGAAACATAGCGAAACACTTTCCATATTTTTTCCAGGGCTTGCTTCAACCTCGGTTTTTCGGGGTTGCGTGGCCGGTTGTGAAACCTTTCGCAGAATCACAGCAAAAGGCAGCAGAGGGCGGAAGGCACAGGAAGCTACTAGCGCGGGGCGGTTCGGAAAACTTGGAAGTGGAAGCCCACAGACAATTCCAACACTGAGAATGGGGGGATCTGTCCGATTTCAACGGAGCACAAGTATCATGCTGAAATCGAACAGCTCTCCTTGGGCGTGCTCTCCTTGTGTGTTGGGAGTGGGGTCCGGTGTCCATGGCCAAATTGAGAGGATCCTAGCCAAAGGGCACATTGAATATTATATATAGACTGTCCTCAACATGCTATTGGGCCATCACAGCAAGCAAACGAAGCATTGGCAAGGTGACATGTTTTTGACAGGAGGGGGGGGGGGGGGCGGGGGAATGGGAAGAAGCAACCGCGCAGGCAGGGGGGGGGGGGGGGGGGGCGTCGTTTTTCCAGCATTTACAGATCGAATGCTGACCTTGGGGCAGTGGCAGAAGATGTTAACACCGGAACCGAACGCCAACAACCTCTCAGCGCTGAACAAATAACATCCCCCTCAAGCCCACCCCACCCCAAGCCCCGTCGCTCAGGATGCACGCAGTCAGAGTGGACGCTAACATTCCTCCCAAAAACACCAAGCGTGTGCCCCTGAATCTACTCCGTTGCAAGGCTAGTCCACCCCGAGTGGGGGCCCAGAACAAGTGTGTCGCATTCTTTTAAAGTCCGTGTGACACTTCCTTGACTCATTCCAGCCTGCAACTTCGAGCATGGCCCAAAGGATGCTTCAACAACCACCCGCACGAGAAAACCACCCGCACACGCACACGCACCCGCACACGCACAAAAAGCACACACAGGAAAACGGGGGCCACGCACACCGACCGTGGGCTTTTTTCCCAGAGGATTCCGCCGCGGCGCGGGATCCGTCAGCTGGCTCTCCTCATCGTAGCCCACGTAACCGGGCGGGCTGCCAATCAGCTTGGCCACGGTGTGCTTCTCCATGTACTCGCTCATGTCCAAGCGGATCATGGCATCCTTGCGTTCGACTCAGGGCCCCTGGCATCCCACGGCCCCCCAAAAGAAATGACCCCCAAAAAAGGAACCCTATTGGCATATCACGGTTGTCAGGGCCCCCCCCAAAGAGGGGACCCCCCAAAAACCCCCAAAGAGTGGAGACCAAGAAAAGACAAGGAACCCTGTTAGCCTAGTCGCTATTAGCCCCTGTTGGGCATCCCCTATTGGAGGGCCCTTGACAACCATAGGATGGACAAGTAAAAACGATGATCAAAAAGGAACAGGGCAAACACTACGATCCAAAGTTAGAAAGCAAAAGAAGCGGGGCCCGAATCCTAAACGTGGGACACTGCTACAACAAGACAAACCACTACCATCTGCAAAAGGATTAAGGATTGAGTTTGAACAACCCTGTAAGGGTGCTGTGGTCAAAACAAGCCAAGCATCCTCCATGCCAAAGTACGCCTCCGACAGAGCCTTGCACAGCTCTGTCTTGCCAACACCTCAGCAAGCACAGGCATTGAAGCCATTACGAATCTCGCAAACTCTAACAAGTCGCCAAACAAAATCAAGGGTCCGTCAAGGCAAAGGCCTTAGTCATGGATCTGTTCGAAAGCGCTTGTGAGGTCGCTATGATTTGCCCGAACATTGTTGGGAGCTTTGACCGGCCTCCGACTCCCGTCATCACAAGTCCAAAACCGGAAACTCGTTTTCCCCCTGAAACACCTTCATGGGTGGAATCGCCGCGTTTTCCCCCCGAAGTGTTGCTTGCCCAACGCGAAGTCGCGCCTGTGGGCCCGCAGAAGATGAAGGAAGCGATGGGCCTCTTGGGGTTCTGCAGGCCTGCCCTTGCGCGGCGCACCGCCTTCGCGATGGCCGTCACAGCCTCCTCCTGAGGCGCGAACAAACAGGCCCTCCAGGTGGGGGGGACAAGCAAGGGTAGGGAGGGGAGGGGGGGGAGGGAGCGACACGGCATCTACTTTGCAACCTGCCTGTTTAGGGATGTTTAGGGCAATGGCTTTTTGCAGTAGTGGTTGAGTCTACAAGACCGCAGGCACTCTTTGTTTCTTCCTGCTGGTGCAGCAGTTTTATGAGAATTGTTGCCTTGCAATTTCTATTGCTGCTCAGGCCTGGGAGCTAAGCTTAGTGCCAGGAGGAGCTGGGAACTTCCATGCCACAAGAGAAGGGGGCCTTTCCTCATACGCAACCGTAAGTACAAAGCCCTGGGACGGTGAGCTGCCTCATCTCCAGTGTCCGGGATAACCCTGGCCAACTGCATGCGAAAGACGACCACAAAATATCCAGGATACCCCTGGCCAACTGCAAAGACGACCACAAAGTATCACAAAGTATTCAAACCCAGCTTTCTCCTCCCAAAGAAAGGCCCCGGGCCCGTCCGCCGGCTCCCCGCCCTCGGCCCCTCGGCCCCTCGGCCCCTCGGCCGTCCTGGCCGATGACGCGGTTGTGCAGCGTGTCCTCCAGATGCACCAGGCGCACGGACTCGTCCGCGGAGACCTTCTCGACCTGAGACCGAGCCATTGGCCCCGGTGAAGCCGACCGAAACGCGGTCGGGTCTTCCGCCTTCCGGCCACAAGGGAAGCCAAAAGCTGTTGCTTGGCTTTAAGGGACAAGGAAAACACACATCAGGTTGTTGCGGTCCCCGAACTTTCAGACAAACCCAAAGTACCCCGTGCGGCGCCCTTTTGGTTAGAACTTTGAGGCGGAAGCGTTGCCGTTTTGGAAAGCAGAATGGAACCTTTTTGGGGCGGGACCTGAAGGCTTTTTTCTGGGCTTCAGCTTTGTCATCTCGGTGGGAACTCCAAAATGCTTGCGGGAGACCAAAAGTAAACTAAGTAACCAGTGATTTTTGGGGTCCCTAATTTTGCCCCCTAGCAAGCTCAAACAAACAATTTGGGATGCCATGTGGATTAACTGTTTCACAGATCTGCCAACAATCGCACAACCCGCCCTGCGATTTGTACTGTACAGCGCTGCGGAAGCACTCAGTGCTTGCGAACTTCTCGTATAGCTAATCCAGCACCACGCCCTCTTTGGCATCAAGCCAATGGGCCGTACCCACAAGAGGATCGAAGACGGCAAACAGGGCGTGACCGGGCATGCTGGCTTCGAACAGCCGAGCACGGGCATCACAAACAAGCACTCGTTTAAAAGCGAGGGAGCTCGCAACGATTTGCCAGTACCTGGAAACTGTAAGAAACTTGGGCGAATTTGGCCACAGCTCTCTGCCAAGAGGCCGGCACCTTGGTCCAAGCAGAAACCACCGACGCCACGTCGTTTTCGGTGACAATGGGCTTCGACAGGGCCGCCTGCTCTTAAAACAAAAAACGCCGCTCAAGGGCACCAGGCCCTGAAAGCCAGGAAGATATGAGGAACTCAACTAGGCAGTGTCCCACAAAAGGCCTCTCATGGAGAGCAGGATCAACAAAGGACCACACAACAAACCGGCTGGAATCAGAGAAAGTGTGCATGGGGGGGGGGGACCGAAATAGAGAATAGCCGCATACAATGACTAGTTTCCGACCTTCTGGCATGGTAGTATGTCGTGGCCGCATGCAGTCAAAGCCAACCAAATGAGAAATCATATTGTAGATTGCTCGTGTATAGTCGCATGAGCTTGGGATAAATCAAGAAATGGGGGCGGTCGCGGAATCGGCTCGAGGATTGGCTGTGCCCCCAAGAAAATTGCAATTCCCACGCAAAAGCGAAGGGACCTGGCAGAAGGTACCACAGAAGCAAGTGGGGATCTTGCTGGCCTCCACGTCTTCACTTTTTGCCTAGCGTCTACCTCAGCTGTTTCCCCCAACCAAAACAAAGAGCTCGAATCATTCTGGCCCATAGTCAAAACGGGAAGAACAAAAATGTGTGCATATATGTATATATACGTACACATCTCTATACATATACATATGTGTATATATATATATATGTGTGTGTGTGTGTGTGTGTGTGTGTGTGTGTGTGTGTGTGTGTGTGTGTGTGTGTGTGTGTGTGTGTGTGTGTGTGTGTGTGTGTGTGTGTGTGTGTGTGTGTGTGTGTGTGTGTGTGTGTGTGTGTGTGTGTGTGTGTGTGTGTGTGTGTGTGTGTGTGTGTGTGTGTGTGTGTGTGTGTGTGTGTGTGTGTGTGTGTGTGTGTGTGTGTGTGTGTGTGTGTGTGTGTGTGTGTGTGTGTGTGTGTGTGTGTGTGTGTGTGTGTGTGTGTGTGTGTGTGTGTGTGTGTGTGTGTGTGTGTGTGTGTGTGTGTGTGTGTGTGTGTGTGTGTGTGTGTGTGTGTGTGTGTGTGTGTGTGTGTGTGTGTGTGTGTGTGTGTGTGTGTGTGTGTGTGTGTGAGTGTGTGTGTGTGTGTGTGTGTGTGTGTGTGTGTGTGTGTGTGTGTGTGTGTGTGTGTGTGTGTGTGTGTGTGTGTGTGTGTGTGTGTGTGTGTGTGTGTGTGTGTGTGTTGTGTGTGTGTGTGTGTGTGTGTGTGTGTGTGTGTGTGTGTGTGTGTGTGTGTGTGTGTGTGTGTGTGTGTGTGTGTGTGTGTGTGTGTGTGTGTGTGTGTGTGTGTGTGTGTGTGTGTGTGTGTGTGTGTGTGTGTGTGTGTGTGTGTGTGTGTGTGTGTGTGTGTGTGTGTGTGTGTGTGTGTGTGTGTGTGTGTGTGTGTGTGTGTGTGTGTGTGTGAAGCGTCCTGGAGCACGGACGGAAATTCCACATTGCAGGGGGACTGGAGCCGATTTGCCTATCCAGTCCAATGAAGCTACGGCATTTCGGTGGATACCGGATCTGATCAATCCGGCGTACCTGCCTATTTCCTGACCCTCTTTCCTGATTCTTTTTGCGGTTTCTGTTTGTCGCTGTTGCTTCCTGTTCGGTGTCGATGTTGTGACCTGTTGATTTGCATTTGCATTCAAGCATTTTTACTGACTGCGTTTTGCATCTCGGCTAGTGAAGCCTCTCGAGATAAGTGTGTTTACCCACGGCCTGTCCGACATGGCGCTGTGGGCTGGACTCGCCATATGCGGGAGCCCCCTGCGAGGGGAAGACCGTTCAAGTGTTCAAGTTCAAGCTGCAGTTCAGTTCAGCGCGTTTGACCACGATCAAGGCTGCAGCTTGAGGTCTTAAGGTATTCCGCACCCAAATGGTGCTCTGCTGGTTTCATGCGCCTGCACTGCCTGCACTGCCTGCCTTTGAAGCAAGGCTGCACCCACGAGGTTTCAGGCTCCTAAGCTTCATGCGCCAGTGACGAGTTGGTCATACACCAACTCTGCAATTCGTGGCGTTTATGGAAGCTTTCGTCTCGGATGAGTTCAGTTCAGATTCATGAGTTCAGTTCAGATTCATCGGCATAGCCACATGAGGCACTTTCATGAGGCCACTTGACAGGCACCTCTGAGAACCCCTTTGTGCTCGTATGCATTTGCACCATTGACGCATTTTTGCTCGCATGCATTTGCACCATTTGCGTCCCTCGAAATTCTTTTGCTGTTGCCGCGGGGTTTCTTGCGGTCCCCTGGTGGAATTCCCTCTGCTTGGTTTTGTGTGCTCGGGTTTGTCGTCTTTGAAAATTTTTTGCCGTTGCCGCGGGGTTTTTGGCGGTCCCCTGGTGGAATTCCCTCTGTGTGGTTTGTGTTCGCGGTTGTGGGGTTCGGTGTTGTGTCGGCTTGACGCATTTTTGCCGCAGTTGTGGTTTTGTTTCACCCCTTTCCAACCTTCTCTCTCCCTTGCGAAATGGCTGGACACCAGCTCTATGACATGATGCATTCGCTCCTGCACAGCATTGCGACCGGCACCGCGTCCGGCTCACCAGGCAATTGTGGACCGAACTTGCAGCTGTCATCCCAGATGACGCAGCCCATGAACCTTGTACCGTCACCCAACTCGCAGACGGCATCCTTCACACCTTTCCCCATGATGCCCTACGGCGGCCTCTCGAACTTTGGCAACCCGATGGCCATGATGCCCTACGGTGGCCCTCCCAATTACGGCAACTTGGCACCTGGCACCATCATGCCTTTCATGACTCAGAGCAGCATGCCATCTTCACTGCCCGAGCCTCAGCCGGCGCGCGCGCCCGAAGCTGCCGCTGCGGCTCCTGCCGCTACCTCCTCAACCAACCACCCTCCCCCGGACACTCGGCACCATCCCCACTCTCGCAGATCCCGTTCCCGCCACAGACAGCACCGACACTCCCACTCCCACACCAGCCACCATCGCAGGCACAACAAGTCGCACCGACGACACGACACCCGACGATCCCGCAGCTACAGCAGGTCACGTTCCCTTTCCCGACACTTCCACCACTCCCGACGTGCACACCACTCCACTGTCTCCCTCCGCTCCCGCTCCCCCCGACACAGGTCCCACCATCGACACTCCCCTGCACCCAGAGCCACGACTTCGCACCGACCCACTCACACTACTCATGATTCCACCTCCTGGCGCACTTCCGGGAAGGATTCCAACAAGTCTCAATGGTCCTCCTCACACTGGCGGAACCAATCGTGGGGATACCCACCACAGAACAAAAACCGCTGGGACATGCACCACCATGGCGCCAGCCACACCGGCCACCGAAACAACCAGGACAAACGATCGTCCTGGTCACTGCAGCACCATGGGCAGCAACCCCACCCCACTTCCCGCACCGGCCACCACAACACTAGCTTGCCCCCTCACCCAGCACCTGCGGCGGCCTTCACTTCCACTCCCCCTCCCCCTCCCCGACCCACGCCGGCTACTCCTCACCCTCCCCAACCCCCCTTCGACAACACCGGTGATTTGGATCCCCCTCCATCGGAGGCGGACATCAATGCCACCACCACTTCCGACAACCGGTGGCTTGATCTATGGAGAAACGTCATGGACACGGCCAAGACTGACCCGCTGCGAGTTCCCACGCCTAGGGAGTTGGGGGAGCTGGACCCGCTTCCAGCCTTGGACATCTCCAGGGTGGAACAGACTAAGGCCATTTTGATGGACCTGGACCCTGCTTTGCCACCTTCACATGCCGATCTCCTCGCGGAATGCTGGGAACTGCGAACCATGGACACGGATGATCCCATACCGTTCGATCCCAGCTTCTACCACCTCTTGGGACGGGAATCACACGGCATGGTGTTCGCAACCACTTGGTTTCCCCGACCTCATCCTTGGCCAGTTGCTGGCGGAGACCCGGAAGCTGGATCCGGCACGGCCTCCCATCACGCTGTCATGTATGTGCACGGCACCACCCCGGATCGAGTGCGCCGCATGTGCCATGAGAACATGATCCGACCCGCTGCTTGGAGGCCCGAGAACCATGACTACCCGAGCTTTGGATGCTACGCTCAGGCCACCCCCACGGCATGCACGCCCGACACGCTCGGCCAGCTCTTGCAGAACTTTACAATCGGAAAGTCTCAACTCGGCGCCATCGCTTTTGGGGAACTACGCTCCATCAATCAGCACAAAATCCTCGAATCCGGGGGAAGCCACGAGGATCAACACAACGTGCGGCGCCACTTCGCATGCCGCCGAGGCAAAAAGTGGTGCCTTCACTCCAAGTTTGCGATGCTGAGAGGCATCGCGCTGCAGCGCCCGGCTTAGCGGGGCGCAAGTGTACCATCTTCCACCCAACCAGGAAAAGAATTGGTGCACTGTTTGATCGCCTTTTTTCTTTGCTTTGCTGTTCTGCCTTTCCGCGACCGTTCTCTCACCTTGTGACCTTACCCGCTTGATTCCGCTCACCAGCTTGTGGTTCGAACATTTCCTTTTCCCCCGTGTTTTCTCATGGCTTTCCAACCCCCTCGAGGTTTGGTTACGGCGCTCCAAAGGCAAAACTTACCACCGCAGCCTTCGCCCACGGCATCCCATCATCATGGCATCGTGTACGGCAACAACATGGCCGGGAACCCGTGCGGGGCCCTGTCCGGGCCTTCCTACGGATGCTCTTCCACGGCATCGGCACCGCCAGCTACACATCCGACTCCCTGTCAGACCTACGGCCAACCCACCACACCCCGGCCCTCGTCCACCCTCCTTTGGCGGCTCTCTCCCCCCCCCTCCCGGCGGCACCCCGACCCCTCCCCCCCTCCCCTCCCCACCCACTTGGAAGGAGCCCCGCGACTTGCTCCAACCACCTCCCCACGTTTGCCAATGGCTCACCAGCAACTTCCCACCCGACATTTCCGACACCAAAGTCCAGCGATGGATCACCTCTCAGAAAACCAGCAAAGAGAGCAAGCAAGTCCTAAAAAGCTGGTCCAACGACTGCGCAAAATGGGCAACCACACTGGACTCCGACACCAGAGCCCAACTCGAACGAGCCGCTGTGCTATGGGGCATCCCGGTGCGAACCCTATCAAAACTGGGGTCATCGGCCTTGGGCCGCATCCTGGCCGCTGCGAGTCACTTCTACCAGTGACTCTCAACAGCACACCGACAACGACGCACAGCCAGGCAGCACAAATTTTGGCAACACCACTGCTGCCAACTTCTCACTGTCCTCCGTTTCACTCTTCGGTTCTTCCCAACCGATGACGTCACCGCACGTCATTCTTGCTCCTGGCTACTCGCACAGCTTCAGCTACTTGACGTCTGCCATCTCTCCTGTGGTTCCGGCAGACTGAAAGCCCTGCTTACTCGACTTGGCCTGGACAACCCTGCTTCCGATTTCTCTTCTCAGCTTGTCCCTTCAGCGGTTTATCTGAGATTCACCAGCCATCCAAAGTGGCAGGCCTTTTTCTACCTCGGAGCCACTCGCGCCTCCCTCATGGCACGGGGCCGCAGCCAACTTCGCAAACTACTCCAAGTTCAGCGACATCATCTGGTCAATGCCGAACTGGCAGTCCGGTGGTGGGCACATTTTGACTTTTTCCACCACTACACCTCGGTGCCCATTCACACTGTCGTTCCGGCAACGGACCTATTTGCCACTGAACAGTTCTACATCCAGGAACTGCAACCGTCTCTCAATTTTGGCTTCATCGAGAAACATTTCCGGCCACGCACGGGCTTCATACGCCAATTGGACTTCTCCCAATCCCGGCACATGGGCTTCGCCACCATCTGGCGAAAACGCCGCCGACTACGACTACCCATCGCCCTACAACAGGCCTTCCTGGCCAAACGCGTGGACAACCGCCTGGATTTGTGGCGATTTTTGGGCGATCTTGGCAGCAACACTCTACGACGATTTGATGCCATCCGTTACATACGGAGCAGAGACTTCCCACCCGCCGCTCTCTATGTCCTTCATCGCATAGCCACACACCTGCCTGAACCACACCACCAGGCATGCCTTTCCGCCATTCGATCCAGTTTACAATTCCGGGGCCTCATTCCACCTGGCCCCTCCAGACCGATGCTTGCACCCTTCCTCGCCTGGCGACTACTGCTAACCTGGTACCGACAACGACAACCACACTCCTCTACCACACACCTCACAGTGGACACACTTGACACCTCTGCCATCACCCGCGTCTACAACGGACGCCGTCGCCGACACAAACCCACACAACGCACCCTGTGGCTCGACGACATCCCCGAGATCATTCAGGCCACCCTTGACATGCAGATCTTCTCTGTCGGCCTTCGTTCATTCAGGCAAACACGTGGGGCACCGATGGGATCCCCCGCGTCCCCAGCTCTCTGTTTGATGGTGATCGCGGTCGCCGAACAATGTTGGACCAACACTCACATCACATCGGGACTTCGCTCCGTTGAAGATACTCTCCTACTCCGCTACGTGGACAACAGACTCGTGATCGCAACCCCCAGGTGGCTCTCGACTCCGGCAGCCAACATACTGTGCGACGAACACTTCTATGGAGGAGACATCTTCCTGGACACAGAAGCCGCCCTGGACTTCTTGGGGTTCCGACTGAACCTCACAAGCAGCACCATCTCCTTCATCCCCTCGCATGAGAAGCACAACATGCTCTCCGTCAAGTCAGCCGCACCACTGATGCATAAGGAATCTGGATGTTATTCCGGACGCACGCTGATCAACCGAGTTTCCTTTCCTGAGTTTCAGCGAGGTCAGGGTCTTGCAATGTTGAAGAGGTTGCACCTCCAACACGGTTTCACCTTACAAAGAGAAGAAAAACCGTCCTTTGCGGAACCACACTGGTTTTCTTCTCTGCCTTTGCATCCTGACAGATTTGACCTGATTTTCGCGCCGCAGCTGTTTGACTGTTTGACCAAAATCCGTTACGAGCATGGATACCAACACAGCACGCCAGCTGCTCCAAGACTTCGAACTCATCCTTGGCATTGCCCAACAAGGCATCGCCACCATCCGCGAGTTCCCTGAGAGTCCGCCTGCCGAACCTGATTTGGCACCGGAGGCCACGCTCAACCCCTGCCATTGAGGACCTCTTTGAGCCACCTCCTGATGCTCCAGATGAACACCTTCCCACTGATCATGACGAACAATTCCCTGATCATTGGGCTCCGCCCACCCCTCCTCCGTCTTCTCCCGGCGAAAAACGAGCTCGCCGCGCACGTGATTTGGCCTCCTCACGATCTACGGCATCCAAAACCTGCTCGTGGACCAAGCGAAGCTACCACATCGACCAGGACTGATGCCTCTACTGAGGCCGAACCTGAAGCCTCGCAGCCTTGGACTGAGGGAGAGATTGAACTCCTCCGTTCCCTTAAGACCAATTCCAAAGCCAAGTATGTGTGGTCAGTCATCGCCACAAGACTTTCTCGCACAATTGATGCTTGCAAGACTCAATGGGCCTTGCACAAGTGATGTCGCCCCAGTTGGGGCTCCGTGTGTGTGAAGCGTCCTGGAGCACGGACGGAAATTCCACATTGCAGGGGGACTGGAGCCGATTTGCCTATCCAGTCCAATGAAGCTACGGCATTTCGGTGGATACCGGATCTGATCAATCCGGCGTACCTGCCTATTTCCTGACCCTCTTTCCTGATTCTTTTTGCGGTTTCTGTTTGTCGCTGTTGCTTCCTGTTCGGTGTCGATGTTGTGACCTGTTGATTTGCATTTGCATTCAAGCATTTTTACTGACTGCGTTCTGCATCTCGGCTAGTGAAGCCTCTCGAGATAAGTGTGTGTGTGTGTCCCTGGCCTCCTTATCCTCCGCGTTCAGGGGCGGCAGCTCCACCTGGTCATGCAACAGCTTGGATGGATTGATGTGGGTAGAAGCATGGGGTTGGAGCCAAAAAAAATGAGTGGTAGACTCACCCACCCACCCACCCACCCAGTTCTCTGTCTTCATATTTAGGAATGCGTTGAAGCTAGCGTGACAGTTCCGAATGCTCTGTTAGTCAACATTGGTGGCAAGATTGCGAAAGAGTGCGAGCTGGATGTCTCAAGAATGACCTCCAATGGAAGTTACTGCCAAGCACGGTCCAACCAGGCCTTTCATTTTGCTCTGAAACATTGAAGCCTTCACTTTTCTTCATGCGGAGCCAGCCGGGACAACTTGAGTCAGGCCGCTGACAAGCTGGGTGTGGACCACAGGGCAGGCTTGAGCAGGGCCCCCAGAAGCCACGAACACCAACCTACAACTTTCACTGTTCGTTTCAGCTCGCTGCACCTGGTGAGTCCAGATCCTCTGCAAAGCGGAAAAATATTGAGAGTAGCTGGCGTTAGACCCAAGTCCAGGGTTGCAATTGGCCGCGCCAGCGCAAGGAGCCAGTTTTGAAGTTTTGTCACATCATCCGAATTCTCTCAAGTATCATGACGTAATTTACTGCTATTCGATCCAGGCATCGGAATTGCATTTGGGAACTTCAAATGCATTTGCAGTTTTCGTTGAAGGTATCGTCACTGGCTTGTCTTTCCTCGGTGCTCCGGACAACGGCCTGTTAATTTGTGGTAATAACCCAATGGGTTTGCCCTTGAAATCGGCCGCGCCCTGTCAGACACCAGGGCTGGAGATCTCTCGATGCATCCCCAGCTGCATTCGAGCCCTTGGTTGGGGCCCCCCTCTTGTTCTACCATCATGTTGTTCAGCAACCAACGAAAGTGCGAGTATCCTCCACATATAAAAACATACAAACAATTGCCTACCAAGCCTCCCAGCCCCCCCACTGCCGACAGCAACCCCCAAACTACCGCCTCCTCCTTGGCCTCCTTCTCCTTTCCCTCCTCCTCAGCCACGGGAGGTGCCTCCCGCTCCTGAGAAGCCCCTAATCCACAAGCCAAGATAGGCGAGCCAAGATGTCCAAAGTGCCCCAACCACAAGCCTTGTGGCACCTCTGACATTTGCTGGTTTCCAAGATGGTTATGCTCCGGCGAGTTGGCCCCGTCAAACCAACTGGGAAAAAGGAAGGTCCTCGCCACTGTGCTTCATGACCTGGTACAGCCTGCAGTTCAGCTCATCTTCCTGGCAGGATTGGCTAAACTGCGTGCAGCTCGGGTTTGCGTGCAGCTCGGGTTTTGTGTGGCTCCCCGACCCTACTGCCCGCCCCCTCCCCCCCCCCCTGGCCTTGTTCTTCAGCTCGGCCGCTCTCTTGAAATCCTGGGGGCGAGTTGAGAAATCTCCTGGACTCCAACCTGTTGAAACCCCAAAGCTGGAAGAGCTTGGGATGACCCAAAGGGCCGAAAGAAGGACGTTGCCCCTGCCAGAATCACTCGCTCTCTTGGGCTGCGCCGCGCCAGTTCACTAACCTTGGGTTAGGCCCGATATCCCCTGTGGGAAATTATGAATGAAAGTTATATATATATATATATAACTTATATCGAATATATATATATATATATATGTGCGAAACCCACACACACACCTATGTATACGCTTCGCATTTGGAGACTTGTGAAGTTGGGGGAGGCTGCAAAATTGCGGTCAGTAAATGGGGCCCCGCTGGATGATTTGGAAGCTGCCATCCAGAAGGGAACCGGCACCAATTTGGGTGCCCAGGGAAACCAAACTCATGATGGACACGCAATGCCCGTATGGCAAATATTTGCATACCATGGTGGAAGCTCAGAAAAAAAAAACACGGATTATGGTAGTTCAATACTTCGTGCGCCTAACCGAGTGTACTCACTATGTTGCATTTAAGCTGGCCTGCACAGGGGAATTTGAAGACCATGCCAACCGGCCCAAGTTTGACAAAAAGACGCTTGGGCGAAAACAAAATTCGAAACAAAGCATGGGCTTCCGGGGGACGACCTCCTCTAAGCCCTCCTCCCCCCCAAGTTGATCTCCATGAGTCAACTGGCTAACCAGGGCTTGATCAAGATTGGAGACGAGGCAGCTTGAGGGGGACGACCTCCTCTAAGCCCTCCCTCTCCCCAAGTTTGATCCGCAAAGGGATCCCCCTACAACCCAACGGGTTCACCACCCCCGTGGCCCTAAAACCCGCTGTTTCAGCTCCGTTTCCGCGGCCCGTGGCGGCCCCGTCCTGGAGCCGCACGGCCTCCTCCTTCTCCGCCTCCACGTCCCGCAGCTCGCCGCGCACCTCGAAGGCCTCCTCTGGGATCGCCGCCAGCTGCCTACGCGGCGAAGCCATGGGGGAGAGCCATGGCGGAGGGGCCCAAAAGCAGTTGGGACAAGAGACAAAAGATGTACATGTTGTGGTGCAGGTGGCGGCTTTCTGTACTTTTCTCTTCTTGGTTCTTCTTGGTTCTTCTTGGTTCTCCTCTTCTTTCTCTTGTTCCTTCTCTCTCGTCTTGTTCTCTTCTTGCTTCTTCCTGCTTTCTCTTCTCCTTATCTTTTACTGGTTCTTCTTTCCATCTTCTTTCTCTTTGTCAGATTTCATTATTTATTCTCTTCCTTAGTTCCTTCCTGTCTGTGCTTGTTTCCGTTGTTTTCGTTCTTTGTTGTCCTTTCCTTATTAATGTTTGCTTTCTGTCTGTCATGATTTCTTTCTTTCCTACCTTCTCTCCTTGGACCCTTCCTTTTGTGCCTTCCTTTTGTGCCTTCCTTGTGTTCCGCCCTACTTCTTTCTTTCTTTCTTTCGTTTCCTTCTTTCTGCCCTTCTTGCTTTTTGCCTTTCATTATTTCCCTCATTATGTCCTCATTTCCTCCTTTATGTCTGCATGTATTTCCGCTTTTCTTCCACCCTCATGTCTTTCTTAATTGGTTTCTTTTGTTTTCTTGCCTTCATTACTTTTGGTTTCTTTCTTTCTGTATCTGTTTCTCGATCTATCTAATCCATCTATTTTTCTGTCTCTACCTGCCTACCTACCACCTACCTGCCTATCTACTGTATCTATAATCTTATCTATGTAATTATCTATCTATCTATCTACCTATATGTCTGTCTGTCTGTCGACTCTACCAATTGATAAATCTACCCAGCCTTGCCAGAGCGCCACGCCTGCAAAAGCGCGCCTATTCTTGATGCCAGGAATTGCCTTTTCCCTCATTCGCTCTAACTCTTGGGCCTGTCAGGCTTGTTGACCCAATGTGACAACTGAAATACTCACACAGCTCCAAAATAGAGCCAGTTATGCATTGGCCTGGCGCGATCTCAGCCCTGGTTAAACTTTCAGGAGACCTGAATACTCGCAGTCCGCCATGAGGTTCCACCACTTGCAAGGGCACATCCTCTTGTCAAGACATTGCTCCTCTGCCACTCCGTGGGCACCCAGTGGAGCGGCACCTTCATTGGACTGGTCGGGGCATTGGCGACGTCCGGCCAAGTCTATAGCCAAGCGCCGAAGGTTTGGAGCCCCGGCACGGTGGATGCGACCTGCAGTTTAACATGAGGTGGACGTCCATCTACGCTATGACCCCGAGCCGCCCTCCAACTCCACGTTGCTGCCGGGAGCATTGATCTCCCTCAAGTGCTTGATGTTGGGGGCGTTCTGGCGCCTTTGCGCCTCCGCCACCATCTGCAGGTCAGGCTTCTGGAGGCGGCCGTCCACGCCGTCCACATGGTCCCTCTGGGAGATCGTGATCGTGCCATTCTCCTCGTCCACCGCATAGTTGCTTTGCACATAGTCGAAGTCCCCGAAGTTTCACTCGTCGATCCTCGCTGGTCTCCCTCCACGCCGCGATGAGCAGGTCGTCCATGTGCGACAGCATCAACGCTCTTAGCTCGAGGTGTTCCTGAGCTCCAGCTTCTGCCACAAAAAACGAGGACTTGTAGGGAGTCAAAGCAGGGACACGGCTCCAGTCCTGGCGTGCCCCTCTTCAGCTATCGGAAGTAGAGGTCCCTGCCCGCCAGCACCGCATTCAAGAATGCAGCGTCAGCGGTAAAGACTCCTTAGCCCTCGTTGAGCGCCTTCTGCAAACTGAGCATGAGACTCGTTCTCGTAGACGTCAGCACGTCACACTGCATCTCCACCTGGCCAATGTCCGGATCACAAAGTTGAACCTCAAGCGCTCCTTCCGCCTCCTGGTACAAGGGCTTCTCATCGTCCGAGATCCTTTCCCAGGAGATCTCCTTCTCCAGCGCCTTGTCCTTGGACTGATCAACGCTGCCGCTTCACCATCATCACTTCTCGCGCAGCGGTTTGGCTCGGAACCGTAGCTCGTCCAGGGCTCGGGCCATTAATCCCTCACGGTGTGCTCCGGGTTTCGCTTGCCTTCCTGTCATCACGCGCGCCAACCTTGGTCAGCTCCATCCGGATCCACTCCTGGAACGCCCTCAAGCGTTGCCAAGCGGTCCAAGTTCAGCTCCCCCGCAAAGCTCCATGCCCAGCCGCCCAGGTACTCAAGGCAAGCGCCCGTTGTTCCAGGGGCAACCTAGTGCTTTCCATGGAGGGTTGGCACGCTCAAGCGTTCCGTGGGCTTGTCCTTTCGATTCCCAAAGTGTTACGGAGTTTCTTCTGCTCTTCCAGCAGCCAGGGAGCCTTGCCAGACTCCAGACTGCGAGGCAACCAACAAGTTCAGCTCACAGTCCGAAACGCCTCGTCTGACCATCTGTCCAACAGCCCGTCTTCCACGAGTGTTTGTTCGCGTGGCACTTCTGCTGGTACTCCGTTTCATCACGAGCCGAGTACCACTCCCAATCACCCCACACACTCATCGGATCATGTGGCGCAATCTGGCTGTCAGAGCCATTGTAGCTGCCATCCCCCTGCATGGTTAGTTTAGTCGACCGAAGGGTCGCCCCCACTCCATCTCCAGCTTGCCAGGGGTCTTTCTGATCACTCCGTCGAGGCTCACAATCGCCCACCTCCGCCCGCATCACCCAAGCTCGACCCCGGCTCCTGACCATGGTCACCACCTTGTGTGGTCGAGGAACTTCTCAACTATGCCCACAATCTTGGGCTTTGTTGATGCCGCACAACTCATTCGCTCTCTCTAACTCTTGGGCCTAGGTGGCCAGCCTGGGTCGTCTACCCAATGTGACAACTGAAATATTCACACCTGTCACGAAATCTATACCTAACCTTGCCGACAGCGCCGCGCCTGAAACGCAAACGGAAGTCAAAAAAAAAACGCACGTCCGTGGCAACGGTCTGTGCATTGCAGACCATCGCGACCGTCAGCCGGCTGAGGTACCAAACAAAGAAGTGCCTAAGTTGGCGACTCGGAGCTTCTTTCGAACGGTGTCGGGCAAAATCAAGCGCCATCTGCTCACTGCCTCCCAACGCTATTCCATTACCCGCTTCCGGCTTCGAACCCGCTCCAAGCCCGCCTCCGTCAGGCATCGCGAACGAGGTGGTTTGCGCACGGAGGGGCCGAACTCATGCACAGGGCTACGTTTTCGGCCCGCTTCTATTCCCCAGTTCTCGAGCTTTCTAGCCTTTCCCTGGCTTTTTCATGTGCATGGCATCGGTTCTTAGAAATCACATACGAGGGCATGCATTCTTAGAGAGACATGTTCCTTTCAGCACTGCGGAAAGTTCTTGTTAAACTTCCTTTGATAACAACGGCCATGTCCTTCAGGAAAGGGACATTGGTTTTCAGTTGTCGGCTTTCCCGACAGGCCTCTTTTGCTCGGCTCAGGTCAAAAAGAAACCAAGAATCTTTAGGGGTTCCCCATGTTAGGCAACACCCATGTGAATTGCCAGAGCGTGCCAAAGACAGAAAGAGGGGTCAGATTACAAGTCATGTTCTTCAAACCTACTTGGGGCGGAGATCCTGTGAGGGATCCTTCGCCTGGTGGCCCGTTTTCTGCCTCTGTATGCCCTGCCTAAGCTGCACGCGCGCGCCCGTCTCGTCCAGCAAGTCAATAGCCTTGTCTGGGAGGTAACGGTCCTGTGACCCCAATGCCGGTTGAACCTTGCCGCACCAGAAAACCGACCTCCGGAACATGTACAAAAAAGAACACTCAATGGCGCGGGATTGGCTGTACTATGTTCGCCTGAAGGAACTACTGACTATATCATCCGTTTCTGACCAGCCATCCTGAATAAACAATGAAACACTTGCAATTCCCTACGCTTCCTGCAGACAAAAACAGGCAACCAAACACCCCTCCAGCCAAAGACAAGTAGAGGATGCAACTCCTGCGAGACAACCTCTCATTTCTAAGTGACAAGGCCCTCTGACTGGTTCGACTCATCTCGCTGCATGAGCTGTTTTGCACCCTGCACCCTTTGAGGGCGCTCAACAGACACAGAAACACACCCGTGCACGTCATACTGCGCATTTGCCAATTTATATGAGCGAGCCCCCAAACATTGCAAGACGATTGACATTCACATTTTCCAGCGCCTCACTGTTGCAGCCCCTTTTTGGTAACCTACCAAATGCAACGCCCCAAAAGCAATGCCCAAAAGCAGGTGCTTATAAACACAAACACCCCGCAGGTCGAGTCCTGGATGTATTGGGACGCGAACTTCACGCAGCTCTCCAGGGACTCCTCGGAGTAGCGGATCCGATGGTGGGCCTGGCGCGGACGTGTGACCCGAACCTCCCGGCGGATCGAGGGAGCGGATCCGCTCAGGGAATTTTATGGTGAGACGGCGCATGCAGTGCACTAGGTACCTGCGCTGCACGCATGTGCATACATATCTGCAAGGCCTCGAAGGTGCGATCATGCGCACTGATAAGAAAGAGCCAGCAGAAGCCACAAACGAAGTCACAAGTGCCCGTTTTTGCCGGATGGCGGCCAGCCCACGCCCGCGTGCCTGGACCTACAAGGTTCACAACCCTGGCAATTCCTAGCGCCCTTCCTCGCCAACAAAACCCTCCCCTTCTTCACTTCAAACATCACCGCCCATGCGATCACTTGACCTCCATGCCCCTTAGACGAATTGGATCGAGCATTGCAAATCCTGACAGGGGCATGTGTCAAAATAGGGAAGCCCCAAAATAGGTGTCGGATGGATGGAGCGGACTGCTTGCAAACGCGCCAAAAACCACATGCTACAGTTTGCTCATGCCTGCTTGATGCTACAAGTATCACTTGAACCCACCTGCGCTGTCCCAGAACCAAAAAAACCAGGTGCCGTGTCCCGCACTAGCCGACTTGGCATGAAGCAAAAAGAGCTTGCCTTCAAATTAAGCTGGCTGACCGAGATCCTGCCGAGAACTGACATCTGAACTCAACGCACCCTTGCTCTTCCACAGGTATTTAGCGCTGACTGGGACAAGGCTTTGGACCAACATGAGCCCAAAGATCACATTACCGGCGCAAAGTCGTGATCGCAACCGCCGCAAGTCTTGACATCAACCCCTCTCCCTCCCCTCCAATTTCCTCCTTTTTCCAGCGGCTCAAGCAGGTGGCCTCGTACTTCCGCGCGATGCCCCGCAGGATCTGCACCGCCTCCTCATTGGTGGGCTCCGGCACCGACACGGGCTGGAAGCGGCGCTCCAGCGCCTTGAGTCACAGGCTGCGCCTTTTGGGCCTGGGGAGAAGTGAATGTGATGGGTGTCATTGGTCAGCCGGATATGAAGCAAGGGACAAGAGTGAAGCTGCATTGGTTGAAGTTGGATTGAATGAAGAAAGGGGGAGAAATTCATCCTCCATGAACGGGAACGGGTGTGGCTCCTTGAGCAGGCTTCCGGAGCGTAACTGCCGATCGCCCGCCCTGGCGCTGGAATGAACGCCAAGATTCAGGTAGAATCTGTGTTGAGCCAAATGATGCTCCTACTGCCGAGGTTTGAGATGATCAACTGTTGCGGCCAACATGCATGGCAGACGGAAACATGGTTGTGGAATTTACCCTTCCTAATAACGGAGTAGGGCCATCCCAATAACTAGTTTATGCCTCGAAGCCAACGCTTCTGACATGAACAGCCATAACTTCAGCTTCTGCGTGTGGCTTGAATCCTGGCAAATGGAATATCTTGACGTTATGCCAGCTTCTCTGAGCCAAAGCCGGACCATTCAGGGGAAGACCTTGTAGCGGCTGGAACTCGTTCAGAGAAGTGCGAATCCGAGCTCGGATTCGCATGGCCCGGTCCACACTATTGCTCGCCCACGGAAGTCAGAGGCCTCCAAACCATCAGCGCCTTTCATTGTGGGGCAATTCACCCATCGCTTTCCAATCGTTGGGTCAGGCTCAAATCGGTACTCACCAACTTGCAAAAACATAGTGTGGACCGACCTTCCTTCATGGAACCACTAGCTTGGCCCCATAAGCCTCACGCATTTGCGAAGCCTGACTCCTGGACAGGCCCACACAGCAGACCGCCGTTTGTGGAGAAGGCCAAAGCGATCTGGGCGCCTTGTCTTTCTCCACGTACTTGCGGTACTCTTCCACGGTGGTGGCTCCTCAAGCTTCAAGCAAACGGTCACCCGTCGGTGGTCAGCCTAGTAGGCCCCTGATTCCACCTCAACATCTTGCAAGCTAAAGTGGTCCAATACACGCAACCGCAAGACCGCTGGTAAATTTGGCTGTGGGTCAAAAACAGGTGTTAAACCAAGGCTCCGATGACCTGCATGTTGCCTCGTGCCAGCGCGGGCTTGAGGATGTTGGCGGCATCCATGGAGCCGCCGTCTCCACCCCCTCCAGCGCCCACCAGCGTGTGGATCTCATCGATCATGAGGATGATGTTCCTTCAGAGATGCCCGCATGCACACTTTGGGGGGCTCTGAAAACTGGTTGGGAGACGGTAGTTTGATGTCCTTTTGATGGACCTAGTCAGTCAGGGACGTGACTTACATATCTGCAGTGACCAACCAGACATAACCCCCTTCATAGCAGACCGCTCACCTTCAGAATAGTTTGCCTGAGCCTTGCCAGCAGGCCTAGGCACGGGCCCCAAGTTCTTAGTCTAGCAGCAAACCTCCTGAATGGACTGCATTGGTCTGACAATGCCGGCTTCTTCGTTCGTGCGCAACGGAGAAGCCAAAGCTCACGCGACTTCCTGACAAGGCCCCTTAGAGTGATCACACCCTTCAAAAGATACATGCCAACCTCCCGAATGTACTTTGGACCGAGGGCCTCCCCAACCAAAACGAACCAAAATGAACCAACCAAAATGAGCCTCCCCAACCAAAATGAACCAAATGAACCAAAATGAACCAAAATGAGCCTCCCCAACCAAAATGAAACCAACCACTAACCACTGCAGGTACAAAGCGGCCAGGGTCATGACTCACCCCACGGCAAGGCGCGGATCGTCGCGGACCTCTTGGATGATGTTCTTGAGCCGCTCTTCGAACTCGCCACGGTACTTGGCACCTGGCGAGTAATGCAGTCAAAACACCCACCAAACATGGCTTGATGAAAACACCCCCTGACGAGTTGCAGGAGGTTCCATGAGTTGCCCAGGAGCTGGCGACGAATAACTTCAAGGTCCCCCCCCAAAAAAATAATCTGCAAGAACAAATGCTCGACCAGAGCATGCCCTCCAAGCTTGACAAGGGTGCTAAGAAACGCTGCACACAAATGAACCCAAGCCAAAGATTATAGAAAGGAAACAATGGCTCACATCGGCAGAAACACCCGCCAGTCCATTGAAAGAAAGAAAACCGGCAAAGGCGCCGGAACCACCCACCGCCCTCTTGCAGATTTATATGGGCCCCATCACAAAATGCACATAGTCTAAAGGAATCTTCTTTGGGGGGAATCCGGTTCGGGAAAACTTGCAGGGGACAACCCCCACTGTAGCCATTCACCCAAGGCCCGGTCAAGTCTTGCATGGGCTGTGATTGAAGCATCCCGTAATAGACAAAAACATGACGCACACATACATGCTACAGGAAAGTCAGGTGGGACGCTGCCAAAAAGTAATAATGAGGAAAGTAATCGCAAGGCATGCTGAAGCAGAAGGTGCACCAGGTTGATTCCGAGACCAACCCACCTGCCGAGCCATGGCGCCGCCAACCCTCCCAGCCTGACAACAGGGCACCCATGTCTAGCTCCATGATCTGCCTGAGCCCGGTTGACATGAAACCAGTGGCATGTTCGATGCAATGGATTGCAAGGCAGTTGCCCTCGTCTTTACAGGGCTGGACCGTTGAACCACCGCACGGCCTGCCGGCCGTAGAAGAAGAAAGGAAGGCAGGTCTGTTCTTGCAGCAGGCCCGAGCAGGGCGGGACACGCAGACAAGCCTGCTAGCATTCGCGGGTGGATAGAGAGGACTGGGCAACAAGTTCACCAATGGCCAGGCTGTTGCCATCTTGACACAGGCAGGCTTTCCCTTTCCTCATGCAAGGACTTGAGCCCAAAGGGGTCCTTTGACCTGCGCTCGGGCCTGCAGCGCACCATATGCATATTTACGTTCCCTGACCCTTGAGGGTAACCTTCAAACTTTTATAGTAGGTCGCCTCATGGGTTGGACGGTTGGCCTCACTTTCCGACCTGCATTTGGCATCCGTTTGCACCGTTGGCGACGGGTCAAGAATCACCCGGGGTGAAATGCAAGAAGATCCCTGCCCCTGGAGAATCAAAGCGGAGCTCCCATCCCGGGGCTTTCCTATCACAAAGTCACATAAGCCATTCCCCATGGCAAAATCACTCAAAGGGCAGAACCCTCTTGACCCACAAAATGGCCAGATTTCCACAGTGCCCTCAAAGAAACGAACCCCGCGTGGCCGGTGTCGCAAGTTCACCGCCCCAGGCGCTTGTCCAGCAGCATCTCCGGCACATCCCCCGCCACGATGCGCATGGCGAGGCCTTCGGCGATGGCCGTCTTGCCCACGCCCGGCTCCCCGATGAGCACCGGGTTGTTCCTCAGCCGGGTCCCCAAATCCATGGTTCTAGCAACATGGAAAAAAAACTTTGCCAATACACAGCTTTGAATCTTGTAGATCTGGGCTGTAAAGTTGGGCAAGGTGCAAGCCTCACCAAACCTGCCACTAAAAGCGAGCAGTAAACTCCCCAAGATTGGCGCCTCAGGTAGGTAGTCGGATTGGTCGGTGCGCGAGAAGGCGGCTCTGCATGAATCCAAAGGGGTCCATTTCTCCGGGCTTTTGAGTCGCACTTGCCATGCCACTTGCCACAAAGTGAGGTACGAACTTTTTGTGTCGGATCCCCACTTCCAATGTAGAGGTCTGCTCTGCAGGAATGATCTGGGTGAGATGCTGTTGAACGTGTTGCGTTTTGGCTTCGCGCGCATGCTGGACATGGCCATCAAACATCCCAGCATTCATGTTTTCGAACTGCCAAGAGTTCCACGTCCTCCAAAATGTCAAAACACATTCAGGTGCGGAACATGTCACATGCATGTTTGTATTTGTCGTCAGCTAGCCATCTGTTTCTCTCCTCATTTTTAACACCCAAACACGTAATTGTACAGGTTCATCCTTGCTATGCAGTCTCAGCGCATGGCCATCGTACCCCCAGTGAACATCCCAATCCCCACTAAAAGAGGTTCTAAAATGGGGGGTGAATTCACCTACCCCAGAATGGTACCACTGGTCTTGACCCACAGCCATGTAGGTGTTTGGCGCAGAAAAGGTGAAGCCTATGCGATCAAATGCCAACATGGCGCAGATGTTCACATCCAGCGATCCAATACCAACTCCCCGGCCGCCCGTCCCTGGCGAGTCTCTTGGAGCGCCGGGCCAAGATCTGGATGGCGCGGCCGATCTCCTCCTCCCGGCCCACCAGGGGATCCATCAGGCCGTTCGCGGCGGCCTGAAGACTTGGTTGACGTTGGAAGGGGAGCAAAAAATCGAATATGAGCAGTTAAGTGGGGATTTCCCACAAAACCACAAAAGCAAAAATGCAAAATGTTTCCCAACAACAACCAGGAAGAAGCAAATCCGTGCGAGGCATCAAGGCCCAGCAGGCCCCAAAGCGGGCCAAAAGCTGGAAAATTCGGAACTAGGAGTATTATTCACAATTTGCTGGTGCGATAGGCAGGCAATGAGGGAATGAACCTGGAGATTCCTTGAAGGAAACTACAAGGGATGGTTTATAAGGGTCATTCCCTCACTTCCTGAGAGCCAGCAAGACAAGCCGTGCCCAGGATGAAGGAAGGACCCGAGCAAAGGTCTCCGTCGCGAAACTTCAAATCTCGAGAGCACTACACAAAACGAACAACGAGAGCCGCCAGCGCAAGGGAAGGGCCCATAACACCAAAGCAGTAGGAAGCACTGCCGCCTTGCTGCAAGCGCGTCCCGTTGTGAAGCCAAGACTTTGTGGGAATTCCAAGCCTCCCTGCGCGTGTGGCAACTTGCCAGGAACAAGTGGAGAGCCCTACACAACTCCCAACAAATCCAAATATCACAGACCAATTGCAATCTCGAGTCCACAGCTCTCGGAGAACGGGCAAGATGTATATGCTTGATGTCCTGCTTGGGTGTGCAACATTTGGCGCCGCTCCGGGCATCTTGCTTGATGCCGCGTCCGCGCGCCGCTCACAACTTCCATCTCCAGAATTGTGTTTCACTAGATGCGTACCCCAAGTACCTGTGCGAAACCATGGCTACGTAGTTTGCCAGCCAGCTGCTGAACCCAACCAAATGCTCAAGAAGCGCGCAAACAGCCATGTCCTGGAAAGCTGTATGGCAGGACCAGGGATCAAGGGCCAACACGGCAAAACGTAGAACCACCTTGCAATGCAGGAACCAAGAAAGGAATCACCATCGAAACCGTATCTTTCTGAACCTTTGGCAAAGAGACCTGCATCACACGTTGTCCCCCCCACCCCCCTCCCACCCACCCACCACCAGACCACGGTAACCCACAACGTGCTCCCACGGCCTCGGTGAGGTTCTTGCCAAACTCATCCAGGGCCTCGGGGCGGAACCGTTGGCTGAAGCGTTTGTTCCCCAAACCACTTTTTGTTTGGCGTCTGAAGCGTGGACCTGGCCCACCAGTGTTCAAACAGTCTTCCCTCAAATCCCTTCCAAGCATGCCAGGTAGAGTTCATCAGGCCCCTGTTTGTTGAACCTCGGCTCTCAACCTTTCGTCCAATCAGGATATTTGCCAAAACGCGCAAGCCCATGGTCATCGTTTCCTTGACTAGGATTCTTATGATGCTTGTCGCAGTCCCTAGGGGTCCATGACCTTTTGAGTAAAGTGGTCTTTTAGCCAAGGCACATGCGATGTCCAAACGGCGGAAGCCACTCTTCAGCTTTGAAGGGAAGCCAAAAAGGCAAGCCAACCATTTGGTGCCATTTGGGGGTGCGTGTGTTTTTTGAGAGCACCCCAATTCGCGTGATGTTCATTCATGATGGCAAAAGGGGGAAACCCCAGCGCTCCTTGGAGCCACACGCCCACATTTCCTCGAAAAACCCCGGCATCCGCAAAAAAACGCACCCAGCACTCATTCAACCCCCACTTCTCCGAAAAAGGGAGAAAAAAGAAACGGCGCATCCGCCCCGTCATCCGAAAGAAAGAAAAAAGAAAAAGCAACACCGGTTATTAAAAAAAACACACACACGCACACACACAACCCCCGCCTTGGTGGCCTTCTTCTTCAGCAGCCCGGCGCTCTCGCCGGTGGCCGCCGCCTCCTCCTCCACGCGCTGGATCTCCGCCTTGACCTCGTCGATCAGCTTCTGCGGCTCCAGCGGCAGGAGCTCACGCAGCCCGTCCTCACGAAAAAACCCAACCGCGATGCGAGGGGGCAAAGGGGGGAGGAAAAACAGTCGTTTTCCGGGCTGGCTTGGGAGAAAAACGGCTTTCTTTTTTTTTGGGGTTGGCATGGGAAAAAAGCGCGTTTTCCGGGTTGCCTGAGTCTTGATAATATTGCCCTGAAACGGAAAGGGAAAAATGGTGGGTGTGCCACTCAAGGTGGCAAATGGTTTATATCAATCCTTGGTCAGAATGTTGGCGAAGGGTCATCCCTGGGTGGGCTCATCCCTGGCCCCCTGAAAATTTGACACGGAGCCCACAAAGGGGGGTCGGTCCCCAAACATCCGCCAGTGAAGCTAAGCATTGCTTGGCCATTGGTTCCTAAGCCTTTGCACCTTTGCACATATTTGGGCATGCAAACAAGAAGAGACCAATCAAATAGGTCAACCAGCACTGAGCCAAACCCTCGAAATAGAAGTCAGCAACTTCGTCCTCCAGTCAGTCCTGAGGACAACTTTTCTTTCAAATGGGCCCTCTCTGCAATTACATGTTGGTGGACAGGAGGATCATATTCCTCCAAAGAGCACTTGGCTGGAAGCCAAACCCCTTGCCAACATTCGAACTTCCGAAGGCGGAACTTGCCTGGCCTCGGCGTCCTGCAGGTACTTGAGCAGACCCAGGAAGATGTGGACTGAGTCAATGGCTGCGGAGCTCATCTGACGGCTCTCCTTCAGGCATTTCTGGGAGTTGTCCAAACCCAACAGTTATTACATATACACGTAGATATGTGTGCGTATACACCTAATACACGTATCTATAAATATATACATCACACATAATACGTGTATGCATATGTGTGTAAACCATCTATCTATCTATCTATCTATCTATCTATCTATCTATCTATCTATCTATCATGTATATATATATATACATGTGAATTGTAATATGTCTCTGCCCTCGCGTTGCAGGTTCAAAAAGGAGAATGAGGGACCCTTACAAAGGGCATTGCCTTTGCCTTGAAAAGCCTCCGTCTTCACTTTGACGGAGGCGACATCCATGAAAAGCCCATCAGCCAACTGAAACAACTCAACCTGCAGCTCTTCATTCCCTTCCGCCGATGAAAGAGCTCACCCCTCGAACCTCGTGGCAATCTGCAATGTCGTCCGAAAGGTATTCAGATCCTCTTCCCCCCTTCCCCACCTTACCCTCCTCTTCCCTTCCATCTCTTCCACCTCTTCCACCTCTTCCATCTCTTCCACCTCTTCCACCTCTTCCCCCCTTCCACCTCTTCCACCTCTTCGCCTGATCCTTTCCCCTTTCTGGCGCCTCCACGGCCATGTCCAGCACCTTCTTGCACTCCTTGGAGAAGGGCAGGTCCTGCGGCACCGGGCCGCTGCCCTGGCCCACGCGCTGCGTCACCGCCTTGGTGACCCCCTCCACGTCCAGCTGCCTCAGGAAAAGCCCACCTCTGGGGGCGGTAGGACCTGCTCGGATCTTTGGCCCAAATCTGGGGTGCTCTTGAAATGATACCCTCCCACCGGCGAACATGAAAGTGCACAGACCCCTGTAGAAAGACTACTTTCCTCTTGGAAAGGGCCTTTTTGCAGTTCCATGTTAGCTGATGGGAGGGTAACGTTGCGGGTTGGATTTGGTTCTCGCAAATGGGGCAACTCAAACGTTGGGATGGGCTACACGAGAAGCTGCCTCCCTTCAAATTCGGAGTGAAAGAGTCTCTAACAAAAGCCCCGGTCTTTGCACAGGACTTTCGGCATCTTCCTGCTTCTCTGCCTAAACTAGCAGGGGAAACCTGAAATATTCAACAGGGCAATGGAATCGGAAATAAACCACCCTGCTCCTCCCACATCCTTATTAGTTCCCAGTTGCTCAGTGAGCCTCCTTTTGGGGTTGACCGTTTTTAGTGGAGAACCCCAACAAAAATGATCTTGCCGCTGAAAAAACTTGGTCCTTCGGACTTTCTGGCCCGAGCTTCAGCTTCTTGACCACCTTCTCCGTCACGCCGCCTCCTGGATGCCGAGAAGCCAGCCATTAGGGAACAAAGCCAAGAGTCCTGCCCCAACCTTGTCAACCAAGAACTGAACTAGGCCAGGAGTTGCCCGGTTGCCACGCGCTGCTCCCAGCTGTTACCTTGCTTTTGGGCCCGCAAAAGCTAGGTGCGCCCCAAAGGTGCGCCCCAAAGGTGCGCCCCAATGTGCGCTTGCTCATGGTGGGGAATTGGAAGCTCATGCCCATCAACACCACCACCATCAACAACAACACCAACATCCTCAGCATAATCATCATCGCCGTCGTCGATATCCTCCTCACCATCCTCATCACCATGTGTCATCTTAATCATTGTCACAATCATTTGGTGTCGACCCTTTTTGGTGGTTTAGACGCCCTTTCTCACATCAGGATGGGTCACGATTGCATTGGGGACGAAATTCTCACGGGCTTGCCAGGCAACCTCTGCAGAAACTCAAACGGGAATCCCTCAACTGCCACATGTCATCTGGTTCGTTGCATCCTCGCAACGCCAACATGCCTGCCTTCTGGCACAGGCGGCCAAAGCAACCACTTCTAATTTGCTCGGAGGACCGGGGAACAAAGGGCTAAGCTCTCTAGACACTAAAGCTGGAAAACCGACACTTCGGCCCGTTGCAAGTGCCGGCGCGCAATGCAGAGTGCCCGAGTCCCCTATGTGTCTCAAGTGACTGCTTACCGTATCAACATGTCGAAGCATCATGCGGCAATTACCCTAGCAAAACCATTTGCAATGGACTACTGAGGGGAGTTCAATTAAGAGAGCCCTCCTTTTTTACATAGCAGAACCAGGAAGCCAACCTTCAATCGTGAAGCATGAATGCGATGCCCAGAGCTCGCTACAAGGCATTCAAAAGCATTTCTGGGAGCAAACGGCCAAAGGAGGATCCCCACCAATGTCCCCCCCCCGGCCGCAGACAAAGCAGTCTTTTGGTGGGGGTAAAGGGTGGCTGCCGCATTCTCGGGGGAGCCCCCAACAACCTAAGATGTAACCTTGGGAACAATTCCGTAGATTGGACCCTCAAGCTTGTCAACCTCTGACTTCTCAAACCTCATATTTGGATCAAGTTGTTTCCTAAAATGCCTCGGCCTTCCGCCCACTTGGGGCAAAAGACAATTCGCCCACCCCACCCCCCGGTCCCATCCCCGGGTCCCACCCCGTGTCGCCCATGGGCCTTGCTTCAGCACGCCGGCCAGGAGCGCCTCGGTGCCAACCTGCTGCTGGCCCATACGGCGGCTCAGCTCCTGTGCCCCCAGCACCGAACGCAGCGCCTTCCTCGGAAAACGTCGGATTGGGCTGGTGCCATGGACGCTCGGTGGATTTTGTAGGCGAGGCGTGTACCCATGGGGACCCGGGGTCGTGTCAATGCAGCATTCCACTACTGCAAGAAGGTCACCCCACTGGTCGGAACCCTCAGAAACCAATAATTACAAAAGAAAGGTTGGTTGCAAAATAGACCCTAAGTGTCCATACGGGAGGGGGGGGACCTGTAGAGCTGGTGCCTGGATGGGTGATGCGCAACAAAGCTTCCGTGGCGACGGTTGCTGTGGCAGAGATGACGCGTAATTGCATGCTGAATTGGGCGAGACTATCACCAACTGGATCTCCAAAGGACATCACACTTCCATGAGAGGAGGCGTTGCGACATGCCAGGAAATCTTAAGTGTCAAATCGGCACGTAACAGCCCAATCTCCTCCGCCAACAGCCAAGACAGTGGAATGCAAGGCTGGAACAAGTCACAGAAAATCGGCACAACGCAGGCCAGAGAACACCATCAGCGGCGCACATGCTAGCACCAACTTTAGTGGGGTGCTTGGGGTGCCCCGCGGCAATGTGAGCACGCACCACCCCTCCCTCATTACGACGGGGTCGGGTAATTTCGATGGATCCTTTCGATGGATCCTTTTGATGAATCGTGTCAGCCACCTGCTGGCATGATTCATGCAAGACTGCATTCTTGCCTGCAGCATTGGCCAATCGCCATGGAGACAAATCAAAATACCGCTAAACCAGTCCAAGCTTCTCATTGAACTTCTCAAAGAGCATTGTCATGGAGCTCGTGGCACTGCTGCTCCTGGCGTGGGGCTTCACTGTTTCACCGCTTCACCTCGAGCGGCCAAGGGCTGCTGTTTGTCAAGTGCCCGCAAAGTCAAGCGGATTCAAGTCAATCATTGGGGCACGTAGCTTCTTGGAAGGCCAGACGCCCAAATTCCTGAAAATCTCTTCCGCCAGAAAGGCCAGAGGAAACAGACTTGCCTCCGGCGCGCGGGTCGGCGAGTCCCAGATCCAAAGTGCCCGGCCTGGGCGCCGCCGTCACGGAGCCGGCCATGGTCGAGCCCAAGAAGCTGGAGCCGGCGGAGGAGAAGGAGCCGCTCGCCGAGACCCCGCCGACCCCGCCGCAGCCGCCCGCGCCCGCCACGGCCGCGGCCAGCGCCTTCTTCTCGCTCTTGCGCGCGGAGCGCTTGGGGAAAATCCACCTGCCGAGGATGCCCCGGCCCATGCTCGGCATGCCGCAGAGGCCGGGTCTTGGTTCCGGAAATCGGCCAAAGTGGAGCGGAGTGGGAGCGGAGTGGAATGGAAGGGAATGAAATATGCGCCTAACGCGTGCATTACAACAGCATCCCAGACATGTGTGTATGTGTGTGTGGTGTGTGTGTGTGTGTGTGTCACAAATGCGCATAACACATGCTTAAACACTCGAGGGCGTTTCATGCCAGGCCAAAGGCGTGACTCCCCACCTGAGGTGAAAGGCGAGCGCGGAAGCCGCCGCAACCGCCGCGCTCCTGGCTCCGCTTCTGCCCTCCTCCTCCGGCTCTGCCATGGCCAGGGAGGCCGCCTCTGGGGACATCGAGGCCGGTGCCCGAGCGACTGCTCGGCTGGGACCGCCCACCACGAAGGAGCGGTCCATCAGCGGCACCAAGGCGGAGCCGGCCACGGCGGCAAGACCCATGCCTCGCATACGTCGCCGCTCGGCCCGGGCACCCGCGGGCTTCGAGAAGGAAACCATGGCAAACCGATGGCAACCGGATAACTTCACTGTCAGGACGTGTCAAAAATGCTGCGGGCACGAGAGGCACCTCCACATCTCACGGGCGAGCACTGCAGGACACTCAAGATAGCTTTGGGGAGCTGCTTGGAAAGCTGCAACTAGAACTGGGCTGCTTAAAGTCGAACTATTTCAGTGGCTTAGTGGAAACTGCCACTCAACCAACTAACAAGCTAAAGCCCTAAGGGCCCGGATGGCTGGGGATCAGCAGCTACACGTGGCAAGGCACTGCCATCTCAGGCAAAGGCACATCGCCAAGCACCTCGGTGAAAGCTCGTTTGCCGCCCATGCCCACGAAACCCACCAAAGTGTGAGGCCGATAGTGTGTTGAAATGATCGTTCTTGGCTCGTTGAAACAAAATGCAGAAAATGTGCTCTTAAAAAAGAAGGCGGGCTGAAAATGTGTTAATATCCAATACTGGCCACCAGCAACTTCATAACCCAAGCTAGCATGGCAGGATGTTTTCTGGCTGTCCACGTCCTCTGGGGCAGCTGCGCCGGAGTCGGTGTTTGGGAGGTCCCTGGCGTTGTTGACCCTCATGTGCAGCCTGGCGTCCGGGGGCTGGCGAGCCCTTCTACTGCTGAGTCAACCGTGCGACCTATCGTCGTTCAGGAAGGGATGGAACATGGGATAGGCCGGAAAAGCATCCTGTGACCAGCCGCCATGGGCCGACATTTGGATTTGATGATTCGGCTACTGCACTCAGCCCGCCCTTCTAGCATAAGATTCTGATTTCTGAAATCCGCTTTGCCCCCCCTAGATTTCAGGATCCCAAATCCTGATTGAATCTAGGGTCTCGGTGGAGGGGTGGATTTGGGACTATTTCCTCACGGGCAACCAAGTGCAGCACGTGAGCAGTGGGCATCGCCCTCTGGCCATGGGGCTCCCGGCGTGTTGCTCTGGGCCGTGGCCAGCTGCCGGAACCTCCCGCGCCATCTTGCACCACACAAAACACGTCGGAGCACGCAAGGCCGGCGCAAATGTCAAGTGAGGACTGGGGTAGTCAAAAAGTGGAGCCCTGTGTCAAGTGCCTGCCTGACTGCTTAAACATGACTTGACACGGAACGAGGGAGCTGTGTCTTCCCGAAAACTCGCTCACACCGAAGGCAACCCTGCAAACTGGTAGGATGGGGGCTGCATAAAAACTCAAGTTGCTCTCATCCAAATGCTGCACGAGATAGACACCCTGACGTCTGCATTGTGTTCATCCCCGCAGATTCGCCTTCATTGGAGCAGGGTCCTTTAAAAAGAACCGGCCATGCGCTCAGCAGCTGCGACCGGAAGGCATATATCCTCACTTTCGGGGCCCACCCACCCTCTTGCAGACCAGCGCGCTCGGTGGGATTGAAGAACACGTCAAGCCTGGGCACGAGCCGCGCCCGCGGCTCGTGTGAATCAGGTCGACATTGACGGGTGGAGCCACATGCCTCGTGGGCTTTTTAGCTGGAAGTGATAGAACTGGCTACCTGGCAACCATGTTCTGGTTCTGGTGGTGGAAACTTCTGTCAGCTCACAAGTAGACAACTTGCGCAACACGATGCAAGTTATCCGCACACAAACTATACTGACACAAGTGTGACCTACAAACGAACTACTTAATATCTTTAAAGGGGCCATGCTGGCCATGCTGCATGACTCATTCATGGGGCATGGGTCTTCATTCGTAAATGCAATTTTGGTCATTCAAATGTGGCCAACGCGAAGCCACTGTGCAACATCAATGAAGCCAGTCAACCCCATCGAGTACAGCAAGCCGACTCCCTTCTGTTCCAGAAGACTTATCGGCCCTATCCATCGAACCTGGCTGTTGTGCGACAAACCGCACACACCACTTGCACCTCAATGTCCCTCTTGTTGGGTTCTATGAACAGTGCCCCTGCTGGTCATGTGACAGCAAACCCATCCTCCATTCAGCTCTCTTGAGACCCGACGCTACGGCCGTTGCCCTGAGGTCGCTGCACCAACTCGCCGTTCACGCCATCCACCAGCTTCTCATTGAAGCGAGTCCAGATGCCCTTGGCACTGCGAGGCTTGAAACAGGCTCATGTAGTGAGGACACCTCACACAGCGCATCACTTCCCCACATGGAATCCCAATAATTGCACTGCTGATTTGCAGTCTGGCGCTGTGTCGTGCAAGCACGGAAAGTAGCCCGACCAGCGCAAATCGGGTACCCGCTACCTTAAAACAAAGAGCCGAAACATGTTCAGGCGCAACGTGAATGCTTTCAGAAAGGAGGATAAAATGGACTACACTAACATCCGCGTTCAGCAAGTCCTAGCTCACTCTGGAGCGAACAACGCTCCCGCAAAGGACATTGGCTTGGAGCCAAGCAGGGGCATTCACCAGGCTTTGTGCTGCAATGCCACCTGCAATAATAAAGCCATTCCCGGGCCGGAAAGAGGGCATCTCCAAAGCACCCGCTTCAGAAGCAAAAGTGCGGGCAGCGATCAGCGATGGGCACCTGCCAGCCTCCCGTTGTTCAACCCAAGTGCCCTCCAAAGGGTCGAAACTTCCGGAAAGCCGGGCGCGACGGCGCGGCGGAAAAGAAGCCATCTATGTGTCGGGTGTCTTCTTTTAAGAGGATATCACACATCTTTTGGGGGTCTTTTTCGAGGGTACCACCTATTTTGAGGGTCTTTTTTCCAGGAAACCCAGCCCATTGCATTCATTTATCTATTTATGTAAAAAAAATGGTACCAACTGCAACAAAGACAAACTCAAATGGGCGGTTCTCTCTTGGTAGTTTGGAGCCGATTCGGATTGGTTTCCCAAAGAACCCTCCACAAAAGCCAAGATTCACATCCGAATCCAAACCACCAGTCCAGACCAACAATCAAGGGTTACGTGGCCCACTCCAGACCATCTGTTTCCGGATGCCACCCATTTCAGGTAGTTCCCTTGACCAAGACATCTTGGTTGACGTTGGAAGGGGAGCAAATTTGTATTTCTTAGCAGTTAAGCGGTTGGATTTCAACCACTAAACCACAATAAGCAAAAATGCAAAAAAGTCCCAACAACCAAACATGAATAGAGGGTGTCAACCTGGGTTTAGTGGGGAATCAGACCACTTTTGGAGGGGAAGACCCTGTGAATATACGGGGGTTGATGACATGGGGTCACATCCCAACAACAACCACGACATCCCGTTACCAAGTCCCGCGGCCACTTGCACCGCGCGGAGGTCCAGCTCGCAGCTGCCCAAGCTGCTGTCCTGATGCGGGGCCCCAATGGGCGATGGGCGGGGACCGGGCGGGCGATGGGCGGGGGGGAAGCCTGTGGTGCAGACATGGGCATTTGTTGCCTGGCATCCCTGTATATGGACAAAACACACCTCCATTTGGGGTCTTAACCACTTTGGAGGTGGTTCCAGAGTTGGCCCAGGGAAACGAAAGCAAATCAGACCGGTCTCTAGACTGCCCCCCCCCCCCCAAAAAAAGGCAGAAAGCCAAGTCATGCAATGATGAATGAAGGGCAGGGTCAGGGTGAGAGTTCCTCTCTGAGGAGCAAATGCGCATCATCACATCGAAACCACGCTTGAAACGGATTGGCCGTGAGCTGGCTCAGATCACCCATATCAAGCAATGCCTGCATGTCTGCCAGTTTTGCTCGCAACCGACTGGCATGTACTTGCACAAACTGCAAAGAGCAAAGATCTGCAAGAAGGAACCCTGCTGGGAACCTAAATTAAATGAAGCAGCTCAGCAGTGTTCTCTCATAAACTAAGCTATATAGGCATTACTCTGGCACTTGAATTGACTCAACTAGACCGCCCAGGTGAGTTCACCATCTAAAGCCATGCCAATCACAGGAAGGACGCAGCCACAAGCGAGGCCGCCTTTTAAGCAGATCCCTTGCGAGCGCACGTTGGCCATATGAAAGCCAGCCTCCTTCAAACAACCGATTTGCTCTGCCAAAGGGTCACAGTCGCAAGAAGAGAAATAGCATTTGCCAAATTGGTGCCTTCATAACTTTAACTTCCCGGGTTCTGGGGGTTTGCCAGGATAAAGGGCACGTGCAATGAACTTCTGATACATGTTGACTTTGGACTTCCTGCGAATTCCTCCTGGTCACATATCTTCTGACAGCATGGCGAAGCGCGACTCCAGCTGCTTGTTCAAAAGGGTCTTCGTCATCCCCAACGTCGACTGGACCTGGCCTTGAAGGTGTTTGCGTCCATGACCTCGCGACAAACCGCATTCTCCCACCGGGGGAAATGAGAGAAACGGGAAGATGCGAAATGCCGAACCCGCCCCCCTTCTCACGGCTCCCTGCGCAGATTGCTGCTAGTACACTGCACATGGTACTGAACACTCGGCCCACAAAAACTGGGTAAGCAGGAAATCTGGAATCATGTTCAGGCTACCTATATCATTGCGAAAATGAACCTGGCTTCAGGCTGGGCAGGTCTGAATGCTTGAAGCTTGGATGTCGGTGTGTCCTTTTTGGACGCGCCCTGTTGTTGTTTCTCTTTTTCTTGCTTTTTATTGTTTTTTGCGTTGTGCAGGGAAAACAAAAGGGCACCTGCAAGCACTCGCGCGGATTCAATCGTCGACCACAAGCTGGCGTCAGGCACTTTACATTCACTTTCCCTGCGCCTGGAAAAACCAGCGTTCTGCGACCCTTGCTGTGCACTCACCAAGCTGTGGCCTTTCCGAGTCTTACGAAATTTCTTTCAGGATCTTTCAGGCATGCCAAGCCTTTGCCAGGGACCCCACGGTATGGCAAATCCTGCAGGACTCAGACAGGACTCCCCCCGCAACTCACGGCTCACGACAGCATGCCTCGAACTCCACCTTGTGATCCTCGGCTCCGATGTTGAAGCTGAAAAGGTTGTCGCCCTGGCGACCGTATGTTCCAAGTGAAGATGGCAGGCCGGGGACTGTATTTGTGCACTTGTGGTGTAGTCTTAGTTGTCTTTGTAGGTACTGATATGTATGTTGGTTGCGCTGGCTTTGCCTATGCAGTATCATTGTCTTTATGTTGATGGTAAAAAACACTTGTGGCTGTACATGGTTTACTCATGCCAGTGTACTCATAACATCTCACAACCCTGTTGGTTACATCTAATTCAAGAGGTTTAGAATATGAACATTGCTTTTGTGATGAGTATTTTGTGAGAGAGCCAACACTTTGAGGTGTTGGCCTTTGTGATGTGTAATGCAAATACATCGGGAGCAAAAGTCTAAGCCAGATTTAGGCAAGCACTGATTCAGATGAACAAATAACGGTGAACTGGCCTAGCGCGCAACTCCCAGAAGGGCTACTAGATTACATATATATATATATCATTGAATTGAGGACTATACAATAATTATATGATACTTGGTGCTTGGTTTGTTTCAGTCTCCGCCCTACATTTGTATAAGTATAAATATTTGCTCGGGAGTGTGGTGTGCCTTGGTTTAAGGAAAAATGTTGACACCTAAAAATTGGTCAGCGCGCGTGTATGTGTGTGTGTGTGTGTGTGCGTGTGCGAGCGTGCGCGTGTGCGTGTGCGTGTGCGTAAGCGTGAGCGCGTGCCCATGCCTCTGCGTGTGAGTAAGCGTGAGCGTGAGCATGTGCGTGTGCGTGTGCGTGTGCGTGTCCGTGTGCGTGCGCATGCGCGTGCGTGTGCGTGTGCGTGCGCGTGTGCAGGCGCGTGCGTGTGCGCCTGTGCGTAAGTGCGCCTGTGCGTAAGCGTGAGCCTGTGCCCGTGCGTGTGCGTGTGAGTAAGCGTGTGCGTGAGCGTGAGCATGTGCGTGTGCGTGTCCGTGTGCCTGCGCGTGCGCGTGCGTGTGCGCGTGCGTGTGAGTGCGTGTGCGTGTGCGTGCGCGTGGGCGTGCGCATGCGCGTGCGCGGGCGCGTGAGCGTGTGCGTGCGTGTGCGTGTGCGTGCGCGCGTGGGCGTGGGCGTGTGCGTGTGCGTGTGGGTGTGTGTGCGTGTGTGTGGGTGTGTGTGTGTGTGGGTGTGTGTGTGTGTGTGCGTGTGTGTGTGTGTGTGTGTGGGTGTGTGGATGTGTGGGTGTGTGGGTGTGGGTGTATGTGTGCGCGGCCTTGCGTGTGCGTCCTTGCATGCGCGTCCTTGCGAGCGCGTCCTTGCATTAAATCAATGCAATGTGCATCGTGGATCACATATGTTTGGCATTGTAAATATAACTTGTGTTCATTAAAATGTATAAATAGTTCGTCTGTCTCAGTGTGAAATGGCATTGGAGATATATACCAATAATAGAAACGGATGACAGTCTAATATCTTGACGCAAATATATTATTTCCACTGGATCAATGAATCAAACCAGTCCAAACCTCAAAAACAACGACTTCGAGAGAGACAACAACTAAAGACCCAAAGAAGCAAAGCAATCAGTGTGTCCATTGGATCAAACCAGCCCAAAACCAAAAACACAAAAATTCAGGAAAAACAAAACACAAAATCGAAAAAACATGGGAGCGAAAAAAAAAAATCCCGGGACTCTTGGCACAGTGAGTGGCTACTTCTAGAAAAAAGTGCCTGAGGACTGATATGGTTTTCTGTTCTTCTGGACTAGTTTCAGATTTTCTCGAGATTTTTGGTTCTTGGGTTTCTTAGGATGGCTTGATCCAGTGGAAAGACCGTCTGAGAACTGTTTTGAGAGTGTTTGTTTGGTGTTTGGTTTTCTCAAGGTTGTTGGGCATTTAGACTCCTGTCATCTGCGCTTTCATGTGCCATGCATTTATGAGCACACCGAGGCGCAGCAATAAATCTACTTTGTATCTAATACACTGGAACAGCCCACAAAGCACTGAAATGCGCATAGTAGTCAACAAGCACAGAAACATGCAGTCCATGTTTCACAAGAGAAACTGGATCCATCCGTTCGGGTTCGCAACAGTTGACAGGCCACGGAGCAAGCCGAACATACAGCCGGCACGCAACAGCGGTTTCTGGCCCTCCAAGCTCCCCCCGAAGGTTTCCACAAACGTTTCCTCCAAATAAGACATAGTGAGACCTTCTTACGTGCGTTGGCTTTGAACAATTGGGCTCTGTCAAGCCAAGCTGCGGACCCTGTGAAACGCAGCTAAACGGGGTGCAACTAAATCTGGCACATCCTTCTCACCCCCCCGACCCAGCACTGGTTTTCCAGCATCAAGGGGGCCACGTGTGCGGTGTGACGCACACGTCGTAACTTGCGCCCTGAGAGGCCCTTGCCTCCCAAACCGGGTTCAGGTTGTTGTTGATGGTCGGCGTCTTCTGCTCCACACCCGCAGCCCGCACCACCACGTAGGGGTCTGACCTGACGAGCGACCAACTGAGGCTGTCGCGGTTCCTTTGCTGCCCACCCGACTTTCCCGGCCAAGTCTTTGCCTTTGTCACTCACCATGGCGTCGGCGTTTTTTTTTCTCCCCAGATAGCTGAAAGCTATAGGGGTTCTAACTTCTAATAAAGAGGGGGAAGTGATTTGCGAGATTGATGGGCTGGTGCTAAGGGGCGTGCAGTTTGGGGTGCTGGTTTTTGCGGATTGGGGTGCTGTTTGAGGTGCTGATGGCAGTGCGGGCGCATCTTTTCAAGATTGACGGTAGGGTGCTAGGGGGCATGCAGTTTGGGGGTGCTGGTGCAGGTGCTGTTTTGGGGGTGACGGTGTTTTTGCATCTTGACGGTAGGGTGCACGGGGGCATGCAGTTTGGGGTGCTGGTGCTGGTGGTGTTTTGGGATGCTGTTTGGGGAGCTGTTTGAGGTGCTGGTGACGGTGCGGGCGCAATTTGCGATATTGACGCCCGGGTGCTATCGGGCATGCAGGTGACGGTGCAGGCACATTCTTGCATCTTGACGGTAGGGTGCAAGGGGGCATGCAGCTTGGGGTGCTGGTGCAGGTGGCGTTTTGGGATGCTGTTTGGGGTGCGGCTGGGTGTTTGGGGGGGTGCTGTTTGGGGTGCTCTTAGGGTGACGGTGCAGGCGCATTTTTGCGAGATTGACGGCAGGGTGCAGGGGGCATGCAGTTTGGGGTGCTGCTGCAGGTGCTGTTTTGGGATGCTGTTTGGGGTGCTGTTTGGGGTGCTGTTGGAGGTGCTAGTGATAGCGCGGGTGCTCGATTGACGGCCGGGTGCTGTTTGGGACGCTCTTCGGGGGGTGCTGTTGGAGGTGCTGGTGTGCAATCATTGCTGTCTGGGGTCTATGCTGGTGTATTTTTTTGTGGTGGGCTGCATGCCAAGAAGGCCGTGACACTTGAGGATGCGAAAAAGCCAGGCTTCCCGCCAAAGGACCGTCCAAGAGCACCAGAAGTACCCTGCCCATAGACCCCGGCACGTCGCCAAAGAGGCCGCTGTCGCGGTTGGTAAGGTTCATCGCCTCGTTGATGCCTCAAATCAAACAGCGTGCCATCAAGTTAGCAACCAGCCATGGCTAAGTTGCGCTACCCTCCTTCAACAAACATGGAAGCTGCAGGTGTCGCGCTGGTTTGCAGGGCCACGCGAGACGAATATTGTTTTGCCCGCAGTGGGGGCGTGGCAAAGTTGCGGCTCAGGAGGCGCAACTCTTCCCAACTTGGGCAAGCAGGGGGGGTGCTCGAACAAAAGCCTGCAAAGAAAATGGGCACAAGCATGAGCTTTCTCAACCTGGCCGGCAGCATGCGCTTCCAGCTTTCCTCTGCCCAAGGAGTCAACCACGGCCGATCCCAAGGGCCCGGCGGATTTGCAGCACCTCAGCGCACAAAACCACAAAATGCCTAACCATCCGACCCCTCCCTGAAAAACCCCCCCAATTGCACCCCAAACCAACCAACAAAAAAAAAGGACATCCGACCCCCACCTGGAGGGACCCCCCTCCCAATTCCGCTGGGGTGGGGCTGCCCCCAAACCCAGCCAAGGTCCAGGCACTCTTCTCGGCCTCGCCGAGGGAGCCAGGCGCAGGCCTCCCAGAGCCAAGAAGAGTGCAAGGTCTCATATCCTGCATTTGCTCAACTTATGTGGGGGTCGGGGGGGAAGCGTAAGGGGGAATTCCCCCTGAGGCCCTGAGGGAAGGTTGCAAAGTGCATTCGCAGCGTCCTCTCCTTCAACCAAACAAGATGGCTTAGACCCCTGAACACCTGGGAGAACATTCAGTCACTAGGAACTTTGGCCGCCACCACATACTGTGCCGTTCCGCGTCCGCGGCTTGGCCAAACCCCTTGGAGAGTCGCGCCCGCGCCTTTCAGAGACGCTTGCCTGGCCTGCGCTTGCCTGGCCAAAGAAGCAGCTGCCGCGAAAAGGAAAAGAAAACACAAGTCCGAACAAGAAACAGCCAACCGCACATAAGCAACGTAAAATGCAGTAAACGCGTGAAAGCAATCTATGTATACAAAGTACACACACACACACACACCACACACGTGACACACACACACACACCCACGCACGCACGCACGCAAGCGCGAGCGCGCGCAGGCACGCCCGCAAGCACGCACGCACTTACCCACACACACACACACACGTTAATGTCCATGGCTGAGCGAACGGACGGCAAAGTGTATGTCGCTTCGCACTTTGCATACAGGTGGCCATTTGCAGCCACCAAACAGAGCTGCCAACCTCCCAATACCCAATACGGGTCAAATAAGTGTTACAAGCGGCATAACATTTCAGCGGAAAAAGCCTGCAAATGTATAGTATTGCTCTCAGTGCTGAGACTCCCCCAGACGCCTGCGACCGCGCACGAGCCACCTCAGTGAAGGAATGCCCAGCTGGCCATAAGGCCATTGCAGTATGGCGAAGTGACGAAGTTTGGCCGAGTATTTTGATGGATGTCAGTCATGACCCGCCCCTTCGCCCATTTCTCAGGCACCGGCAGCACTGGCGCTGGGCGTGCGGCTCGGCAGACTCCTTCCGAAGTCCAGGGTCCGGGTGATCGAATTCTGGGATTCGATGTTTCGGGCAAGGAAACCGCGCGTCCCATGACTGGATTCTCCAAAATGGCCGGCAGAAGCGGCTTCCAGCTGCATCTGGCCCCACTCAGCCTGTTCGTTGCACAGGAAAAATCACAGATCGGAACGCTTACGAATAGGTCTCTGCGCAAGATGGGCAAAGCAGCTGCTATGGTGGGGTTGGTGAAGTCAGGCGACTTGCACAGTCCGTCTTCAAATGACTAAGCCGCCGCATCGGCTGATTCTGCAGAACTCTTGACAATGCTTGAACACGCAGTCCTGAGTAGAAGGCCCAAATGACAGTGATTTCTGGCACGGGAGGAGCAGACCTGTGACCCCCCCCTTGAGACACTTTCCAGGCCAAAGGGGCCATAAGAATGCAAAGCCGAGATTACTGACGTATGACTATGCCACAGCCTCACACCAGAGGATGCCTCCAATTTGCTTGAGTCCCCTGAAAAAGGGGAAAACAAACATACTTCCAGTAGTGCTTCCCTTTAAAACCAACAGCGGGGGAAAAAAAAAGCGGAAGAAAAAAACCTTAAGCAAATGGAAGGATGAGGACCCTGCAAAATGCCCTTTCCCAAGCCCGCACAAAAAATGGCACATGGCTGGCCACAAACGGCATGGCTCAGCCCAGATTCAAAGGACTGCGGCGTTGGTCGCACCAAACAAAAACAATGCCAAGGGTCCCCAAACTGTGCCAGCCCCCAAACCCAATAGAAGCCATTGACACCTGGGCCCAAGAAGACCTAAGGAGCATCTGAACTGGTCAGCACTGACTGAAAAAGGTTGGTAAGAATTCGACTTTACCCTTTCGCCTGGTGCTTTAGAATTGAACTCATCGGTTGCGCTTGCGTTGGAATGCTCCCACTTTTCGGACCACTTGTGGCAGGCGAAGTCCCCCCCCCCCCTCAAACTCCACCCCTTGCCCCCCCCCACCCCCCAACACCGTGGGGGGGTGAGGGTAACGCCGGCCGGGCGCCCACGCCCAACGCTCGCGATGCTCATCTGGGATGATGCACGTCGGTGCCCACCTCCGCCGAGTTCGGGGGAGGCAAGTTGGCAACCCCGTTCCATCGCCCCCAAGTTTCTGCATAGTCAAAAAATGCCTGGCCGAAGAGGGCATTAAACACGAATGTTCCCGGGTGGGGGCCATCAAGCAAATAAGGAGCCTTGGTTGTGTCCATTTTGGCGGCTTCCCTATGGCTTCCCGCGGACGGTGCTTGCAAAGAGGGTCGGCAGTGTTTGAATTGAACAGATACCACCACGCAACTGCCCAAACTTTTGGATAGGGCTGGTGGGCTGCTTGCAATTGCACCAGATGCATTTTCCTCGTCAAGTGGAGGGCAAGCAGAAGATCACTTGCCCGGACCACGGGTTGCAGCCAGCTTGGCTGACCGTACAGGCTGGTTTCAAGCGAAGCACCTTGCGAGGCCTTGGCGGGAGGATCACTGTCTTCGTGTAGTTTGTGCTGTGCGTCAAGCATTGCCGACCCCTAGGCCAAAGCGCGGCAAGGAATCCCCCAACTTATCCCAGGCGGGGAGCCGACCCTTCTCGGGGGCACCAATTGGGGCCTGTAAACCTCGGTTTTTTTCGGCCCGGAATGCGGCTTTGGGAGGCCACCCAATACGGAACTTTGCTAGAAAGAAGAATCTGCCAGCAACGCGGGGGAGACACAGAAAGACATTGCGGTGCCCAGCAACAGGGGGTGTGGGGGAATGCTGGGGCCTGTGCTTCTATTTTAGGGCTGTTTCTTCGACTGTCACAATTGGGCCAAGCCGTGCTGTTCCCTCCACGCGTCTCGCAAAATAGAGCTACCCCAAAATCCCACCCCAAAGTGACGTTTCCCTCAAACGGGTTTAAGTATGATCATTTGAGCCAGGGAAAGGCACAAAAGGCCTGCAAAAGGGTCGTGGTTCTCTTGACTTCCCATCTGGCCGAGCCCTGGAGCTCATCTTGGGGCCAGGCTCTTCAGCTTCACGCCCTTGGGCTCCACCTCGATGAAGACGTGGACCAGGCCCTGACCAGCCCCGCGCGACAGAAACCTCCGTCCGGCGTCCAGTTGAGGAAGCGGCCGAAAAATCGCCCAGATTCCTATGAAGACAAAGGTATATAGTATACCTGTGTATAAATAGATAATCAGCAAAAGCAATACGCAGTCATTTGCATTAGAACATGGTTTCCGCTGGGAAAAACAAACTTGGGACGTCATAAGCCATGAGTACAGCTGCGAAGGCATAATCCCCTCCGCACCGGTCCCATAGCTACCCTAGGCAGTCCTCCCACATATCGCCCAACTAGAGTCGCCAACCCAGATGTGTGTGCATGGCCAAAGCTCCTTGTGTAATTCCTAGCCCTGGCTGGTTCCCTTCAGACCTAATTGCCCCAGGAACCCTCAACCCTCTCTCCAATTGGATCACTGGCCCGCGCCTGGGCCAACCAGAGAAACAGAATTAGTGACAGCAGCAGCAACAGCATAACGGAGGCAAAGGGGACACTTGATGTCCCTTCAAAAGTTCCACCAAATTCTGCTACTTTCAGAGGTCAAGCAGGAAATTGAGAAACCCAGACAAAAACCAACAACTTCAAAAGCAGCGCCCACCGACTCACAGCACTGCTACAGTCCCCGCATCTACTGCTTTTAGCACAGCCGTTTAGAAGGACAGCTTCCAAGACCGGGCCGGCAAAACATGCGGAGCCTCGACACAGAGAGGTGCTCCCGTGCTTCACCTCCCCCAAAGGCCCAAAGGTCTTCAGCTTCGATCGGCCTCCGTGGGCTTGTCGTTCAACTGCAGGGGCAGCGCACCCTCAAAGCCGTGCCTCAGCCGGGACCCCCTCGGCTGTCGGTCCCCTTGAATTCCAACAAGGAAGGTTAAATATACATGGTACACAAACGGCATATGAATTGGCAGGAGGCATGCGACATCAGTCAGCCGCTTAGCTGTGGCACTATCGCACGTGTGAGACGAAGATGCGTTGCAGCTCCTACAATGCTGTGGTTGCGAGATACTCTATGATGTGCTCAGTGAGCCATTGTGCATACCCATATGCCATTACAACAAAGCCTTCTCTTGCACAATTGTCAGGGTTAGCGCATGGCCTAGTGTCCTTCACGCAAGCCCGAACCTGTTCAAAAGATATCAAACGCTGATCGCTATCTTTTCCCACCTCGTCATGCCGCCATCTGGAACCCCACTGACCCCGTGCAACACGTCACGGATCTGCGCGATAGAATGGCAACACCACTTTAGCGCAGGCAAGCCTACTATGGGCAGAACCCAATACCCAACAGCTCCAAATGCTCCGTCAGAATGGGCCCTGGCTTAAAGCTTTGCCCCAAGTGCAGCATCGGTCGCTGGCACCGAGAAAGGCCGCCTCAACTGACTCTTGCCTGGAAAAATGTCTGCACTTTTCAGCCGCCCCCCCCCCTTCATGGCTGAGAATTTAGGCCCCACCTTAAGTTCCGATGCTCCTCTTGAGGGCTAGCCTCGTGTATCTTTCGACAAGGGAGGCCTTGTCGAAGCCCTAACAGGCAACCCCCATGAACAAGTACCAAATGCGGTGCCCGCTGGCCTCCCTTTCAACCAACCCCCACAACTAGGGCCAAAGGAAGACATATCAGCTGAGCCACGGATAGAACTTCTCCATGCTCACCTCCGCCTGACCTTAGCGGCTTCGACGCCCTTAACCAAACCACCAATTCAAGCCACCAACTAGGGTGAAGCTGACCACGGCCACGGCAAGTTGAAGGAAGGGAACTTGCATGAGGCAACTGACCAAGTTGAAAAACGCACTGGGCGCGGGCCGCCGCCAGCACCAAAGCCACCAGCAGCCCAAGCTCATTCAGGCGTCAGCATACCACCCCAAACAGCACGCATCATACCGACACCGACCCCCCAAAACTTGCCGGCACAGCCGGCGCCTCAAGCTGATCGATCCCTCAGATCCCAGCCGATGAGCTCATCCTTCCGGCTCAGCGGCTTGCAGGGCCTGGCGCGGGAAAAAGCCGCGGAGCCCTGATTTTTCATTCGAGCGAAAAGCGGACAAACGTGGAACCTCTCTCTCCAGTAGAGAGGTTAGAATAAGGGTGCCCTTTTGTCCGTAGTCTATTTTTGTAGGGGAACCCTCCCCAAAAAAAGGGTAAAGGGCTCTACTGGGGGACATAGCTCTTGATCGCACGCACATATTGCAAATGCAAACTCGCTGGTTTACTTTTAAGCCTGGTGAATGGGAGAGGGGACCCTAGCATCCAAATCGCAACTCCATGTGCCATTTCTGGCCCATAAAGCACTGAGGGCTTCCGATGGTGTGGCTGCCCAACGGTGCTTGATAATTGGCGGCTCAGAGGTTCTCAAAGGCAAAGGAGTGCCTCCGCCTAACATGCAACCCACCAAGCCATCCTTCGAGGCTCGCTCCCAACGAAAGAAATGGAGGGGGGCCCAAACCTTCCCCGCGCCCTGCGCAGCCAAACGCGCCAGTGCAGGCTGAGCGGGCTTCAGGTAGGCGTCAAATTCTAGCCTGGGCAGATCACTCAAACCTGATGATCCGGACGTTTTGACAAGGCGGGCAAATCTAGAAAGGCACGTTCCTTCGCCTCTCAATGAGGGGTGTGCCGGTGTTCAATTGCACACTCGCTGTCCCACCCGCTTTTGAATCAGAGCTGAGCGTCATGTGCTCGCTTGTTCCTCTGAAGACTTGGGATGCACTCATGAGCCGGCAATGACCCACCCATCTACCAGCAGTATGTCCACCCCACTCCCTGCGCGACAACCAACCAGCCCTCTAGGTTGCCTTAGGCGACATCACTGACACCAGGCAACATGCAATTGATATAGTGAGAGGCTCGCTCGACTGCCCATTCATGTGCGGCCTGCCGCAACCAAGCGGCAGACTTCAAGACTTGAGGATGGAGACTCCAATGGTTGCAATCATTCATCCATGCCACCCAGCATGCCATCCCCCAACAAACACACAGAACAAGTCTGAAGTGCATGAGTATGGTGATTCGCCTCAGGCCCGTCTTTGCCTTGCAACAGGTCGGAGGAAACCAATTGGACGGTTGACCCATCTATGGCTCAATCTCTCGCCTCCCGGCTACAAACAAAGAGAAAGACTGCGCCTAGATTTCTCCCAGAACGAGGTTGGACAAGCAAAAGTACAGCAGTATGTGATACCAAAGTAGGCCTCCTGTGCCCACATTGGCACACCACCCTTTCCGAAATACCAACTACATCCATCTCATTTGAAAGGAGATCCCCTTGACAGAAAATTGCCACTGGAAGGACGAAACCTCGACTCATTTGCTGACTTTGCTTATTTTCCCAGCGACCTTCACCTCCCCAATCCAAACCAGCAATCAAACTTGACCTGATCATTCCCGCGACGCTCATTCTCTTCCTTATGAAATGGATGGTCCCTTCAAGAAACTGACAACCCCCCCCCCACCAAAATGAAACCATATTTCAAAAAATGCCTTTCCACAAAAGCCGAGGTTGAAACTTCGCAAACTCTCCCCCACCCCCCCACCCCCACCCGCAGGCAACAACCCCACCCTCGCAGGCAACAACCGACTGACCAAAGCGCGCGGCTCTCCTCCCTGACCCTCCTCCAGCTTCAGGCGGTAGTGGTGCCTCACGACGCTCGGTGAGATGTGGTCCGGAGCCATCCACTCACTTCCCAACGCGTGGATTGGCAAAACAACACAGACTTGTTGGTTGCCACGAAAAGGGTCTTTTCAAAAGTTCGAAGTCCAGGAACTGGAAGCGCAAGAGAGTCAACTGTCAAGTTTGGCCGAATGCAAAAAGATCTGGGAAGATCGCCACTAATAAGCCTTGTCTTGTTTCTCCTCTCAAATGTGGCATATGTTTGAAAACTGCCTGGGGATATGCGACGGACGGGGCTCTTCCAAAGGAATGGATTCAACATGAAATGATATCCTTATTCACGAGAGCAAGAACCATCAGGGCCCCTCTGACTGATTCACACGCCCCAAAGCCATCTCCCAACCCATCTCACCAACGGCGAACCCCACAACTCGCCCTTGGTGCTAGTCCCTCCCGAGGCGCCATTGGTTGGGCTCCAGGGACCGCGTGTCCAGCTTCACTGAGCCCAAGGAGTCGTCCCGGAAGTTGTTGGAGTTCATCACCTGCGCGGACGTCCGTCGGATGGAATCCGCGATTCAGTCATTGCACCTTGTGCGGGCAGGTGGTGAGCAGACCTGCTGTCACTGCATGCCCCAAGCTTGGGACTCATCTGTAAGGGAGAGGCTGGCCAAGAGATCAACCGACGGGTCCGACCTTCCCCTCCGGCATGGATCAGATCGCATTCATTACAGGACCGGCCTACCAAAGAAGGCTGTTGTCCGCCAGCTGAGGTTGCATTGTTGCGGAACTGCGGCCAACAGAATTCCAGTGATACGCCTGGCCGACGCAACAACCAGACATTAGCTTTCAATCACACAATCGTTCAAATCAAAATGAGACGCTGCCCTGTTCGCATTTGCCCGCTAGATTCGAACAGCTCGCGCACAGACGAGCAAGGTCTCCATTTAGGACTGGCCAGGCACCGATCAAACATAGCAAGGATTACTCCAACCTCTCTTTCCGACAGCCTCTAAGAAGAGGTAACGGTCCGCTTCGTGGTGGGCGATGTTGAAGGAGAACTGGTTCCGCTCCTCACCGGAAGGCAGGAGAAGGAGGCAGGTGCTGCTTACATGGCCAAACTCAATACCAACTCGCCTGCCCCGGACACCATCAGAAGTGCTAGGAAGTGCACAGTTTGGGGGCATGGCCCAAAAGTGGTCACTGCGGTCAGGAGGTGTCTCTAAAGGATGCCAGCCCCTTCACCACCTACAAGACCCGCTATGAGGGGTTGCTCCTGCCAGATGGGGTTCAGGTCGTTATTGATGACCGGCGTCTTCTGAGTCATCTCCCCCACTTGTGCCGTGACATAGGGGTCAGATCTCAGCTGCAAGATCCGCAAGGCCAAGAGACAGGGGCAAGGTTCAGGAACCAGCGGTGGTACGAGGTGACTAGGTTTATACGAACGCGCCGCGAAGTTGAACATACGCATTTAAACCAGAGTGCGATTCAAGATGATCAAGCTCATTGATGAGCTGAGTGACCGCACAGCTGGAAAGCTGCAAGAACAGAGTGCTGCTCAAAAACTGTCCGCCAATCCTCTTGAACACAAGTGACAGCATGTCAAAGCGAGTCGAGACTCAGTTCATGGCTACCATTTGCACAAAGGCTGATTACAGCTTGGTCATCTTGCGCCCGGTCTTCTGATTCAACGACGGGAAGCATCCAAGCACGGCCCGTTTCAAGACAGGGGCTGCCTCAGAAAGCCATGTCAAACAAATCACTTTGTTGACCTCCGCAACAATGCCCTCATTCTCTTCCCATGCAGGGTTCTACTTTCCAACGCCTCCTCAGCCGAAAAGAGCGACCCCCGGCAGGTGGACCCTCAGGCAACAATACCTGGACAACCGTTGACCCCTGCACAAGTTTGCGCAGAATGCGGCTTTAAGAGGCACAGCACCCAAAAAATAGCCAAAGGATGTGAGGAAAGATTCGAGGTAGCTAGGCGCCCGGCACGTCCCCCAGGAGCCCTGTGTCGCGGTTCAGCAAGTTGTACCCGGCCACGACCTCAGCTCTGGCGGGGTGCCTTTCGCATCGAACCTTTTGCCCTCCCAGCCGCAGGCGGCCCCTCCAGTTTGGAACAAAAAAGGAGATCCAAGGACGCATCCTTCACCTCGCGGGGTTTGGGGTTTGGGCCGTGCCGGGCGTGCACACAAGCGTTTTGTTGGTTCGAGGGGTTCGGACCATCCATCATGTTTTGGTGTCCCCTGTTTGGACGCACTGTGATGATAACTATCATCGTAGCATCCTTTGCATCACCAGTGCTGCCTAATAAGAGATGATGATGACCGTGATGACAACGATGATAAGGATGAGGACTGTGATGATAACTATCAGCGTAGCATCCTTTGCATCACCAGTGCTCCCTAATGAGAGATGATGATGACCGTGATGATAATGATAATGTGATTCGGGCACGAGCCTGTGCCCAGGCAATGGGTAAGTTGGGATAAACAAGCCACAAAAGAAAGGTTCCCCAAAAGCAAACCAATCCCCGGTCCCAAAGATCAGGGTTTCCCACACACCAGAGAACAACAACCAAAGGATAACAAACCAAACAAGAAAAGGGTTAACCCGCAACCTTGGTCGACAACAGGCCGCACGACTGGTCCCTACCAACCTGGCGGCGGCCCGAGGTCTCTTTCTCCCCCGAGATGCCGTCGGTCGACGCAGGGGTTCGGCGACGCCCATTCGAGGCGCGACGGAACCCAAAACTTGAGCCAAAACACCACAGGTCGGTCACTAACGCGACGTCCCTGATGATGATATGAACCATGGCTAATCACACCCCCCTCACGAGGAGCCCGTCATATGACGGGTGGAGCGTGCCATTTACTGATAGGATTTAACTGCTCGCATGCGTCCGCAAACAGCTGGACACTACCGCCGTCAGCGGTGGAGCAAACCCACAAAGGCAGTTGCGCGACATCCCGGGCATTAAATTCCCGCCACCACCCCGAATTAATCGGGGTAACGCTGTCCAACATACCTTGTGGAAAAGTCCACATGACGACACTAGGTCACAACTGTTTGCATCAACAATGCAAGAAGTTTAATTCTTATCAGAAGCCATGAAAAAGAAAGATAACGTATGTCCAATAGTACCCTCGCCTAACGGCAAGAGATACCTCTGACCATGCGTACCTGAAAAATGCTTGAATTCCGCAAACCCAGGAGTAACCCCCCATCAGTTTGCTTTCCCTCTCACTCACACTGCTTCCGGATGAACACGTCCAGCAGCTCAGCAGCGGTACGGGAGAGACATGACCTCCGCGCCTCAGCGGTCCGGGAGAAACATCACCACCTCCACACCGCGCCGACCATTGGAGAATGGACGCCAGCCTATCGGCCGCAATCCCCGTGACTCAGCCTACCGGCTATCGTCACGTCTCCTCCGGTCACGTCCGCCCCGCGCACGGTCCCTATCACGATCCCTTTCGGATCTCCTGCGATCATCTCGCCTTCGATCTCGCTCCCGATCGAGTGAATCATCATCACGACGATCACGAGCATCGTCCCTCCTCCGGTCGCGATCATCCTCGCGCCGCGGACGGTATCTGCGCCTCCTCGACTCTCTGGAATCCCTGGTGTCCACGGTCCTAACGGACCTCCGAGAAGGAGTACGGGAAACATCCGATTCCCTACGCCTCCTCCCAGATCGAGAGTTCGTCACGATCTGGTTGAGAGCCTCCAGTGCCGACGCCTCCTCACCATTTCTGATGAAATCCCTGACCTGCTTGTTCAGCACTCTGTTGGTGGAGATCGACAAGAAAGCGTCCACCACCGAACTCTCAGGCAGCACCAGGAAGTGACCCTCCACCGGGCTCGCCGCAGCCCGCTCAGCAGACTGCAGCCGGATCTCCCCGCCTTCAGGCTTCTTTGCCATCGCCTTGGAGGCCGTCAAAGGCGCTACCGCATCCTTTGCCGAAGATCTGCCAAGCGCGGAGTGAAGATCATCCCCACTAGCTTCTCTCGCTGCCGCACCTGGTCTGCTGTCGACCTCGCCAGGCCTCGTGGACGCCTCCCGCTTTGTCGACTCCTTCACAGCCTCGTCGGGATCCCAACGGGATTTCCTTTCCCTCTTCTGCCCTTCGGCCGACCCGCGGCTACCGCCAGGAGCGTCACCTCCGCCTATCTTCTCCTTCTTGACCTCAACCTTCGGTTCGGCCTGCTTCGTCTCCTTAGCCACAGCTTTTGGAGCCGGAGCACTCTTCGCCTCAGATGCTGAAGCAGCCTTCCCCCTCGGCTCGGCCTTAGGAACCGGGGTCATTTTAGCCTTTGCACTCGGCCTGGCCCCTTCAACCACCATCTCGGCCCAAGACTTCTTCGGCTGAGCTGCTGCTGTATCAACCTCCATCGGAGCAGGTCCAGCATCATCCTTCGCCTTTGGGACAGATGGGCTACCGCCCTTACCAGATCCTTTACCTGGCACTTCACCTGACTTTGGTGGTGGGCCGGAAGGACTACCGCCCTTACCGCCCTTTTCCCCCTTCTTCCCTTTTCCTTTTCCGCCCTTGGGGACCGGCTCCTGCTTGGGACCAGGACCCGGCGCAGCATGATGCACCGATTGGAGTCCCTCGATGTCCACGTTCAATGGTTCGGGTTGACGACCGTCAAGAACCGTCCTCACCCTTTCGTCACTAACGTAGACGAACGGGTCACGGAAGGGTGCGGGAGGCTCCGACTGTCCGGCGCTGATCGCCTTCTGCACCTTGGCTATCGCCTCCTTCAACCTCTTCTTCTCATCGTACCCTGTCTCCGATACCATGTACTGCCTGAGCTGCGAAATCAACGCATGACTTTCCAGGATGTCCACGTCCTTTCGATGGGTCGGATACAACGGGGTCAGATGACCAGCCGCGGAGCCAATCACGTATGCCATCGGAATATAGAATGACAAGTACGTGTCATGACGAGCGAACTTCCTAACGGAAGTCGTCATACGCCTACCCCACTGAGCAGCGTGTCTTGGGTTGGCCCGGAAGTACTCCGTGACCGACTCAAATCTATCGACTTGGTTGGTCTTGATCAGGTGCTTCGCCACCCACTTCTCCACGAACGCATCCGAGGCCGAAATCCCGGACACATAGGAGAATTGGAAGAGCACCTTCGCCAGCTCATCCCACGCCGCATCGACACCTCCCTTGTCTTCACCAAGATAAGGGGGAAGTCTGATGCCGCTCTGCACCGTCATCCTCAGATCGGATGCCATCGAATAGGAAATCAAATTCCTCTTGATGACTCCGACCACTTCGGAGGGAATCCTCCTGGGCTTGAACTGCCCCATGGTCCTCACCCACTCCGGCACGATGTGGCACCTTTCGAAGTCCTTTTCCTCCGCGTTGGGGATAAAGTTCGGGTAAAAGACCGGGAGCGCGCACCCGGGACACAAGTGCATCCCATTTGGCATCAACTCTGCGCACCTCAAGCAGAACGTGGCAGTCACATTCAGCCTGATTTCTTCCCGTGATCGCCTGTGCTCTCCCCTAACGGGGGTGAAGTCACCGTAGTCCCATGCCCGATGGTACACTATCGTGTAATCATCGTACATATATGCCGCCTTCCAAGCCCCCATGTGGATCTCGTTCCTAACGGCAAGAGTCTTCCTTCTCGTCAAAAACACGGGTCCAACCAAGGACCAGTGCACCCGAAGATCCACCATTACCACCACGTACCTACCGGAGTAGTTCCGCAGCCTGTCCCTGACATACCACGAAGGCGATACCTCGGCATCCGGCGCCATGGCTCCCACAAGTGGGATCAGGCCCTCATCCTGCCTACCATCCCCAATGGTCTCGTACACATCGGGCCTCGTGATCAATATCTCGATCATGGCCTTTCCATTTCGCCTCACCCTTTGGAGCTGAACCGCCTTCCGAAAGTCCGAGAACTTCATGATGACGTATCCCACCATGGGGAGTTCATTCCAATGCATCTCATACATCAGAGATCCGCCAGGTGCATCTTCCTGAGTATACCTGTGCCTAACGGCACTGTAACTCAAGTCGCGTCCGATCCGCGTGTGCCTAACGGCAACCAACCTGGTGCTCTCTTTGAGGAGAACGCCATCCCCGTCGTACATGACCATGAGCATCGCCTCCACTTGCCCTATCGGGAAAGCTTTAAGCGTCGGAATGAAGAACTTCCAAGACATCTCAGCGTTCTCCATGCCCGAAATCTCCTTCAGGAACCAGATGGCCTGGTCACTTTTCACCCAGTTTCCAGCCTCGCGTCCGGTCTCCTTCAGCACTCGCTCCTCGAATAACTCCGAGACTCTCTTTGAATTGA